TCCCTCCTGGACTTGGCTGCACCCCCGGCACACACATACAACAGGGCTGGTTCCCAGGCAACCGCGCCTCTCTGCAGGGGGTCCAGGGCTGTGGGGGAAAGGGACAGGCGGGTCTGCAGCAGCAGCACTCAGGCATCTGGTCTGGGTGTGGGGGGTCTGTGTCTGTCTGTGTCTGTGTGTGTCTGTCTGTGCAAAGGCAACATTGCAAATAAAACGCTCATCACCTGAGCAAAATACGCTATTTTCTTTTTAAATTTCCTACCCTGCTTTTTTTGAGGAGGGGTTGGGGCTGGGGAGGGGAGGGCAGGGGAGGGGAGGGCAGGAGGGCAGGGCAGGGCAGGGGAGGGCAGGGCAGGGGGGCAGGGGAGGGCAGGGGGGAGGGCAGGGCTGGGGAGGGGAGGGGGTGGGGCAGGTGTTCGCCACCTCAAATTGGTATCATTCACATCACAGTGTTTTTGAATTATTATTATTATTATTGTTGTTATTGAAGTGCTAGGGCTGAGATACTGTGTATTTCTGTTCAGTGGCGCTTTTTATTTTGGTCAGCCGGGTGTCCAATACACTAGGAAAACAGTCACTATGTTTACCAGCAACTAAACTCCTGACAGTTCAATATATGCAGTACAGTACAATTTACACTTCCCTCACAAAATACACAGTCACACCACTTTTATAGATATCCTGTTAAAGCGCTTTGAGACGTCTCAACGACGTGATAAAGCTCTATATCAAATGCAAGGATTATTATCAACTTGTGTAGAGCTTTTCACATTGGGAGGATGTCCCAAAGCGCTTAAGTATATCTATGACAATTTCTGTTCTTTATTTACATGCTCCCTCTTGGCAATGCCGTCCGCAGACATGGGGTCAACTTCCACATGTATGTGGATGACATTCAAATCCTCTTCTCCTTCTCCAGCTGTGACTGTAGGACTACTGATGTTCTCTCCCTTGCTTGTCAGATATCAAGGCCTGGATGAGCGCAAACTTAATATAATAAAATATAATATAGTGATCCTTGCAGTTGATGCTGGATTCATTCACATTTTCAAGACTGAGGTGGATAGATATTTGTTAGGTCAGAGTATTAAGGGATATGGGGCAAGGCCAGGTAATTGGAGTTGAGGTACGGATCAGCCATGATCTTCTGGAATGGCAGGACAGGCTTGAAGGGCTGAATGGCCTACCTAAGTTCCTATGTTCCACAGCCTATCCCGCACTTTGCGGAAGCCAGGCATCATGTTTGAACCCAGCTGACTTTTGTAACCCACATCTGGTCCCTGACCAGGACCGCTTTCCTCCACCTCCGTCACATTGTCCCCCTTCGACCACACCTCATACTCAATGTAGCCAAAACCCTCATCCACGTTTTTGCCACCTCCCATCTTGATGGCACTCTTTGACAAGTGAAGGGAGTTTCTCCCAGTTTCTCAACAATCTCCTAGACAAAATTGGTCATTTACTTTATCCCTGTTTGTGGAACATACCAGTGCCCAAACTGGCTGTTGCATTTTGCTGCAAAAATAAACAATCACTACTCTTTGAGATGTCCTCCTTGGAGTCCTGTAGCTCAGTGGTTAGAGCACTCGCTTTGCAAGTGAGAGACCTGACTTCAATTCCAGACAGGGCGAAACCTTGGGCAGGTTTCCTTACTCCACACGACTAATAATAATCCCTCCAAAAAGTAAAAAAAAAAAAAATTGGTCATTTTCAATCCATATGACTGTTTGTGGGACATTGCTGTGCGCAATTGGCTGCCGCGTTCGCCCACAAATATACAGTCAATTCACTTTACAGTGTGTTCTGTGAAGTGCTTTGGGACATCCTTCTGACGTGAAAAGCGCTATATCAAATGCAAGGATTATTATGTAACATGAACAGCACTATATCAAATGCAAGGATTATTACTAACACCGAAAAAAAACCAAATAGTTCTCCACTCAACTAAGCATAATGTCGACTTAGTTCTGGCCTTCACTGATCTTCTAATCACCCAAATGGACCTAGCAAAGCATGAATTGGCACACCGGTTGAACTGCATCCAAAACTGCCTTTCATTGATTGATTCTTTGGAATAAATATCAGGTACCAAACTTAGTTACATAATCAGGCCAACTGGCACAATCTCAAGTAGGAAGTGGCTTCTTCAGACAAGCATCTAATCTACTGAACAAAACAAACAGACTTTACTTGAGCTGAAAACAAGATTTGCTTATTTATTCTTTTTTGGTATTTTATAAATGCTCTACAATCTGTCCCAGTGATTATATATTGATATTGTCTCAAATCCTGGTTGAACAAAAGATTGTATTAGTCATTTTTGGGAGGTCAAGATACATATTTGCATGTCACGTTGTAATGTGAGAAAGCCTGGATTTAGCTCACCAGAGGTAGAAATCTGAGATCAGGTCAAAAAACACATATGTCAGACATACCTAAGGCCTGCTGAAAGGCTCAATATTTTTTCCAATACACATTAGATTTTAACACCACTATTCCTCCTGTTGAGGAGAGTCTGGTGCCAATTCTACAGTTAAAGCTAGATTACATAAATATAGAAAACGCCATTAGAATCGCAAAGATAAAAGTCATGTCAGAAAGATTTATGATAAAATTTTGCTCTCCAGTAACTATGAAGTCCAGAAAGCACACACCAACAGATTTTTCCCTCCTTTCCTCAAGACTCCAACCTTTTCACCCAAAAGCCCTTTCCCCTCACTCATCCTTTCAAAATTATTTCAATACTTTGATTCCTGTAGTGTAATGGTTAGAGCAAGACAACCCGGGTAATCCCATAAAAAATAATCATAATTATCTGGTCACTCAATCCATGACTGTTTGTGGGACACTACTGCGCACAATTGGCTGCCGCATTTTGCCCACAATATATATAGTCAGTTCACTTCACTGAAGCACTTCGAGATGTCTCAATGACGTGATAAGAAGTTAATATCAAAAGCAAGCATTATTATTACTATATTTATAAATTTATTCCTATTGTAGTATTAGTCATTATTATCCTCCTGAGGTGGAAGCTTTCAGTAACTTTGCAGGAGGTCGACCGAAAATATTTTAAATTAGTTGAATTTATTTCTAATTCCTACATTATATTAATTCAGGATTAGAGGTGAATCTGCAGTCTGCAGAAGTAAATGATAATTGTTGCATTTGATAAAGCACCTTATCATGCTGTCAAGATATCTCAAAGCACTTCACAGAAAACACCATATAGTCACTGATACATTTTATCTGGTGGAGTGTTGGCCAGGACACTGAGAGAAATTCCCTACTCTTTTCCAGTATTGCCACGGGATCTTTAGAATCCACTTGAATATACAGACAGAACTTTGGTTTGACATCTTGTCTGAAGGAAAACATCTTGGACAATTCAGTGCACCATCAGCACTATATTGGAGTGTCAGACTGGACTGTGAACCCAAAAGTCCCCATGTGGGGCTTGAAACCACAACCTTCTGACTGAGCCAAGTTACCATTTAAAATGAGCAAAACCAATTTTAGACTGGACGTTTTCAAGAAAGTTTTGTAGTCAAATTGCTCTTTATGCATATTCTAGTCTGAACAAAGTGGAAGCCACATTCACATAACAATAGCATCAAACCAACATTGGAAAATGGTAACTGCTTCACAATTTCATTGTTTTGGGAGCAAACTTTTGCTCCCACTCCTGCTCAAACTTGGCCCTGACTCCTGCCCTAAATCAGATTCAGGTCCAAATTGCAAAATATGTGCATGTGTGCATATTGGGGGTGTTTTTTAAAATATGCATTACAATCCTTCCCAGGACATTGTAATTCTGGATTGTGGTGCAGTTTGGGAATTTTTTTTCATTACTCAAATTTTCCATCCCCTCAGGGTCTTTTTGAACCACATATCACTTTTCATTCATCTGAAATTATGTCCAGGTATGTTGCTTTTTTAATGGATACATTTTAATCCAGTACAAATTGGTTAATTCTCATTTAGTTCCCAACTCATTCTAGAAAAGTAAAGAAGAGAGTTTTCTTGTATAATCAATTTCTTGCTTGGAACAAAATGTCAATTAAGTTCACAGTGCTGCCGAGCATTACTGAGGCAGCCTGGCACATCAGGAGTACTTGGAGGAGCAGACCAATCACTGAGAGCAGGGATCGTTCCTACTTGGCTACTACTAACCCTGCAAGTCAAAGCCCTAAAGACGAGGGTAGTGCTGGCTGGACAAGCAACGGGCTGTTCAAAAAGGAAAAGAGCTTCTCACCGTATCCTGGCCAACAATCTCCCCAAATAAAAAAAAATGGTCATTGGTTTCATGGATGTTTGTATAATATTGCTGTTTGCAAATTTGCTGCCACATTCGCCCATAAAGTACACTACTATTTACAGTACAATTTACAGTACATCCTGTGCAGGGCTTTGATATGTGCTTACATGAAAGGCCCTATGCCAAATCCAAGGATTATTATTATTACAACAGGTTCCTCAAGCGTTGGTCCTCACCAACCTCCAGGTGATACTTTTTGGAATTAGGTAAGCGTAATAATAATCCTTTGATATAGGCACTTTTCACGTCTTCACAGAATAGACCGTAAACTGAATTGACCGTATATTCGTGGGCGAACGCGGCAGCGGATTGCGCACAAGCAGTGTCCCACAAGCAGTGGTGGATTGAAAATGACCAATTTATTATTGTTTTTGTTTTTTGTCTTTGGCGGGAATATTATTAGGCTCTGTGTGGAGTGAGGAAGGAGTAAGGAAACTTGCCCAAGGTTTGGCCCTGCCGGGAATTGAACCCAGGTCTCTCGCTTGCAAGGCGAGTGTGGGAGGGGGGAGGGGGAGACCTCAGCCTCTCCGGCTGTTTCGGTGACTGTTAAACAAAGCGCTGCTCTCCCACGTGCGTCAGAGCCGAGCCGGCGATTTGGACGCAGGCGCACTGGAGCTCCCCGGGCGCCGGGAGCGAGCATTTCCGGCGGGATGACGTCAGCGACGAGGCGCGGCCTGGCTGGGCCGGAAGTCTCGGCGGCCATTTTGGTGTTGCGGAAGTTGGGCGCAAGAGGGGAAAAAAAAGTTACTTTGTTTTTGGGTCGAAGTCGGAACCATGGCCGCGAATGGCACCGCTCTGCAGGTACACACAGAGTCAGTATAACACCAACACAGCCTGAGGGTGACGGCGAGTGTGTGCAGAGGCCATCTGTACAGACAGAGACTACTAATACACACACAGACCAACATATATATATATATATAGATAGACACAGAGAGAGAGAGAGAGAGGGCCCAGGACACTGAGACTACAGACAGAGAGACTAGTAATATGTGTATAATAGGGAGAGAGCGAACAGTACAGAGAACGGTGTAGGCCTGAGAGAGAGAGAGGAGAGAGAGAGAGTTGTGTAATAGTGTGGGCGGTGGAGAGAGGAGAGAGGGTGTGGAAACTGCCGGGGGCAGAGTAGGCCGCCCGGGGAGAGGCAAACAGGAGAAAGTATGTGTGTGGGTGTGAGTGTGCGCAGGAAGGTGGTGTGCGGGGAGGCGGTGTGAGTGTGTGAGGGGGTGTCAGTGTGAGGGGGTGTGTGTGGGGGTGCGAGTGTGAGGGTATATGAGTGTGAGGGGGTGTGAGTGTGAAGGGGTGTGAGTGTGTGAGGGGTGTGAGTGTGTGAGGGGGTGTGAGTGTGTGAGGGGGTGTGAGTGTGTGAGGGGGTGTGAGTGTGTGAGGGGGTGTGAGTGTGTGGGGGGTGTGAGTGTGTGTGGGTGTGAGGGGGTGGGGGTGTGAGGGGGAGTGTGAGGGGAGGGGGTGTGAGTTTGTGGGGGAGGATGTGAGTGTGTGGGGGGAGTGTGGGTGAGGGGGTGTGAGTGTGTGAGGGGCTGCGCGTGCGTGCAGGGAGGAGCAGGGCAGTGTGTGCGCTGGAGGGAGGGCGGGTGGGCATGTGCGGGGGGGGGGCGCCATATAATTGTAAATTGTGTTATTTGTTTTGTAGAAAGGTATAGACCTTGCAAGCAAAGCTGCTCTAGAAGACAAAGCAGAGAACTATGAAGAAGCCTTACGCTTATATCAGTGTGCAGTGCAGTACTTCCTGCATGCTGTCAAATGTAAGTAATTTTATTGAAGTATTGCTATTGATAAGTTGTTGGGAACATTTGTTCTGTTGTGCATATCTTTGACGCGCTCCCATCTGAACACTGCCCCCTTTTAAAATGTAGGTATGTTCTGCCATTGGTAGATGCTACTTGTTTGGAAATGTTCAGCTCCCAACCCCCAGCTCTGGTACAAACCCTGCACTGTCCAGTGCCTTGGGAAACCCTCCCAATGTGAAAGGGGCTATATAAATGTGAATTTGTTGTTAACCTTTAATTTTATTTATTCATCACTTGTTCCTTAGTGAGCATGAAATCTCCCTAATCAATAAGTTAGATGTTTCACTTTTATTGAGCAGTATGAATAAGTCCATTTGTACAAATCTGTCAAAGTCAGAAGCAGTAACTGAAGACCTAGTAGTGTTATCACATCATCGTAAATAGCATCGGTAATGTTGATTATAGTACAACATGTCTCATTGCAATAACAGCAGCAGCAAAAAAACCCTACATTTATAGAGTAAATGTAATTTCACGTCGGGAGGGACGGTCATGCATTTATTGAGCCCCATTTGTGAATCCTTTTCCATGTGTATTCTCATTGAACCAGAATTGCTTTGTCACTCTGCTGGTAATTGAAACTGGATTTTCTGATTTCTTTTTCTCTTCATTTTTCCTGGTCTTAGTTTCTTAACAATAGCTGATACTCAGCAGACATTTGGCGGGGGGAAAAGAGGAAAAACATCCTGTGGTCATTCTGTGAAACCAGCATAGAGCGATCACTTTCTGCAGAAAGGAGTTCCCATTTGCTTCATACAGACTCCCTGAAATAATTGTGTTAGCCCTTTAATTACAAAGCAGGAACAACAAAAACATAACAAAGAATATTACAGCACAGAAACAGGCCATTTGTACCATCAAATCTACACCAATGTTTTCAACAACAACTTGCACTTATATAGCGCCCTCCACGCAAGGCAGCGTCTCAGAGTGCTTAACAGTGGCTGAGTCTGACTCCGAGCCAGAGGGAGGGGGGAGGTGGCCATAAGCACGGTTGAACAAGAAAGTCTTCAGGCGGGACTTGAAAGAGGGGAGAGAGGGGGAAAGGCGGAGGGATTGAGGGAGAGTGTTCCAGAGTTTTGGGGCGTAGTGGCTGAAGGTTGGAGGATGCGAGGGACGAGCAGGAGGCCAGTGCCAATCCAGCGGAGGTGGTGGATTGGGGAGTGAGGAAGTCGGAGAGGTAGGAAAGTGCCAGGGAGTGAATGGATTTGAACACAAGTGTGAGTATCTTGAAGTTGATCTGTTCGGTGATGTGGAGCCTGGCCAGAACTGGTGAGATGTGGGTACAGAGTTTGGTTCGGGTCAGAATGCGGGCAGCAGAGTTTTGAAAGAGCTGGATCTTGTGAATGGTGGAGCTGGGGAGACTGGCGAGAAGTGCGTTTGAGTAATCCAAGCAAGAGGTGACAAACGCGTGCACGAGATTTTAGGCTGTATTTGGGGTAAGTTACGGTCAGAGGCAGGCAATATGGCGGAGGTAGAAGAAAGCGGCCCTGGTCAGGGACCTGATGTGGAGGAGGTTGAGGAGTTTAGATCCGCAGGAGTGAAGAAGTTGACGGGAGCCAAGGAGTATGGCTTCCGTTTTGTCCATATTCCGCTGCAGGAAGTTTACACTCATCCAGGCCCTGATGTCTGCCAGACAAGCTGATAGAGCCTCGGCGGACCTGGAGTTGGTACTGGAGGAGCCAAAGTAGATTTGTGTGTCATTCCACATTCATGTGGAAGTTTAACCGTGTCTGCGGATGACATCGCCCAGAGGGAGCATATAGATAAGGAAAAGAAGAGGGCCAAGGATGGAGCCCTGAGGTATCCTGCAGGTGACCAGGTGGGGGTGGGAGGAGAAATCATTTGCCGAGATGAAATGGAGGCGGTTGGTTAGGTAGGACTCGAACCAGGCGAGTGCGGTTCCACTAACGTATATGAGGGAGGAGAGCTGATGAAGGAGGATCGCATGGTCGACTGAGTCAAACACAGCAGAGACATCCAGGAGGAGGCAGAGGGAGCCCTGGTCACAGATAGAGAGGATGTCGTTTGTGACTTTGACAAGTGCTGTCTCTGTGCTGTGGGCAGGGCAAAAAACAGACTGCAGGGGCTTGTGGAGGAATAGGTGTGACCAAAGTTGACCTGCAACAATGTGTTCCAGGACTTTAGCAATGAAGCGTAGGTTAGAGATGGGATGGTAGTGTGAGAGATCAGAGGGATTGAGGGTGTTTTTTTTCGAGGAGGGCTGGGATGACCGGTTTTCAGGGAGAGTGGAACAGAGCCTGAGGAGAGAGACTGGTTGACCACGTCGGCCAGCAGGGGGGAGAGGAGGGGGAGTTGAGTGATCAACTGCTGGATGGGGAGGGGGTCGAGGCAGCAGGTGGTGAACTTCATCTGGGTGATTGTGATTGAGAGAGAGGAGGGAGAAATGGGGCAATGTGGATTGTCATAGTGGGGAGGACGATTGCAGCCAAGTGGATGTTTTCAATCTTTGAGACGAAGAAGTTTAGGACCTCTTCGCACTTGGTGTTTGACGTGAGGGCAGAGGGAGCTTGAGGGGTTACACGGAGGAGGTGATGGACGGTGGAAAACAGCGTCATTGGATTATTGTTTGCCTCCAGGATGACTTTGGAGTAAAAGTCAGTTTTGACCTGTGAAAGGGAGAGGCAGTGGGTGTGGAAGTGTGCAGGTCACCTTTTAACCTCAACTCTACTTAAAAAATGCCAAACTTCTTAATTGAAACCCTTTATCCTTAATAAAATCTCAGTGAATCTATGCTGCACCTTTTCTGTTTCTTTCATAGTCTAATGAAGTGCCCAATATTATCCACAATACTCCTAACTTTGGCCTAACAAATGTCTTTTACCAGTTTAACATTTTCTTTGTAATCAGACAGGTGTCTGATACGAACCCCATCACCATGCTTAAGAGCATCTAAACCTGACAGTTATATATACATGTGTAACCTTTGAATGATAATTTCCCTGTGTCTGGAATACTCCATGCTCCATGAAGGAAAATACATTGCTTACCCAATTCTGGAGCAAATGCGACACAGTTAGCAAGAGCGAAGGCTTGGAGACCCCAGATTACACATTGAGATATCCCTGGAATTATCCAACTAAAATGAAACTAAAAGTCACTATAAATTGCCATTGGGAGCACTGTCTGGCAAGTTACCCACTACTTGTTCGGCTAGAGCCTATCTCTTAGGCCTTTGGGTTGCAAGATTAATGGGAACCAAGTGGTAAGAATCCCTGCCACCAGGCAGATCCACAGTATTCAGCCCCTGAATTCACAGGGGCAGACCAAGCCCTTGCTTAGAATAACATTTTCTCTTTTTTATTCTAGTAGAAAGTAAAATTTTAAACCCTAAAATATGCTGAATTTTATTTCTTTTAGATGATGTCCAGGGTGATAAATCCAAGTCGAGCATTCGAGCAAAGTGTGGAGAATATCTGGACCGAGCTGAAAAACTGAAGGAGCACCTGAGGAAAAAACAAAACATTAAAAAACCTGTTGTTGAGAATCAGAACAACTCGAATGATGACAAAGGGTACTTATGTCTTGTGGTCAGCCAGGTGTCTGATACGTTCATAGCCATGCTTAAGAAATTCTAAACCAGATAATTATACTAGTTGTACAATACAAAATTACATTTGTATAGTGCCTTTCATGTCCCAAGGTTCTGGATGCCACCTATGTATGTTAATTTCCCAGTGTCTGCAATTCCCAGTCTCCATGAAGAAAACACACTGCTTACCTAATTCTGGAGCGAATTCGACACAGTTTAGCAAGACCACTTCCAACATTATATGTTGTGATGCTGTTTCCAGGTGGAACCTGTTATCTTATTTTGTAACCATTTTTCTGACAAAATTATGCATACAAAACATAACCAGTAATCAGATTTTTTACATCACTAGTAGATGTTACTGTCATCTTTGATTTATTTTCTAAACATTTCTATATTCGGCCTGGCTCAGTTGTAGCACTCTCACCTCTGAGTCACAAGGTCATTAGGATTTGAACTCTTATAGTCTAAACTGACACTGCATTGCGGTGCTGGTAGTATGCTGCATTATCATAGTCCTGTCCTTCGGATGTGACATTAAACTGAAGTTCTGTCTGTCTCTATTCAGATGCGCATTAAAGATCTCACAGTATTTGAAGAGAAGGTGTCCTGACCAACAATACCCTAAATAATATTGGTCATTTGTTTCATGGCTGTCAGTGGGATATTGCTATGTGCCATTAGTTTGCCATGTTCACTTACAAGTACACAGTCCCAGTAAATCCTGTGAAGATCTTTGGGACATCCTCCCAACCTGAAGAGGCACTGTACTAAATACAAGGATTCTTCTATCTCCAGTTTGGATATTTTATTGCTGTAGTTTCTAAATTCAGTTGTTTTGTCCGGCTCAGCTGTCTGTCTGTCAAATACAGAACCCAATCACCGCACTTAGGAGTATCCAAATCTGACTGAAAGTTCCAAATATGGAAATTCCTGTGTCTTGAATGGAATACGTACATGCACCCTGGAGGGATACACCCTGCTTACCTACTTCTGGAGAGTATTAGGCACAGGTCGGCAAGAATCAAGGCGTGGAGACCCTGGGTTATAAATTGGGGTACTTTAGTTTAAAAAGCTAAAACCGATAGCTTGTCGTTGAAAGCACTGTTTAGCATGCTTTCTACTGCTTGTCCAGCTAGGATCACCATAGATAAATGGTGTTCATGAGCTGTTCTGAATTCCTTTCAGTAGGTGCTTAGATTATATTTTGAAGTACTGTAATTCAGAAAAGTGCTGTAAATGTCTCATTAATTATAATAACCTTCCAAAGTTTTGTTTAGAAAGAAAGAGCATTTTTTATAGCATCTTATGTTCAATGTGAATCACCTCATAGGTGATTACTATCCAGTCTAGTTTTTTTTGTAAGCAAAGCTTCTCTATTAAAGAAAAAACACTTGAGGTCTGGCGACACTGATTGGATAACGAATGTTAGGAAGCACAGCTTCACTTCCAGTTCCTAAATGGATGAATTAGCAAACATGTCAGTCGCTACTTGCAAATTCAGCAGCTGATATGAAAAAAACTCTTCAGTTTGGACAGCTGCAAAGCCATCATATTACTGAGTTCTGTAATAATTTTAAGCAGGGGTTGATGTTATATTCATTGAACCTACAAATGTTTCTCACAATTATTTTGACAATTCTGAAAGGATATTTACTGTGTGGTTTCACTCCCCTTGGTTTTCTAGTCTCACCAATCACTTAATGTCAATGCAAAATGTAGGGTCACTTTCCTTGATTTTTCTAGTAATCTGCTGTGAACAAGATGTCAAGGAGGTGTGAATACAAAACTGGCCTATTTCCTCATTCCTCCAGCTGCTTAATGCCTCCACTACCAACCAATGTAGTGAGATTTACAACCCAGCAGATGATTTTTTTAAATATTTGTATTCATCCAATTTATTTTTTAAAAATATATTCTGTTATGCACTACATCTGCATAAAAAGGCCATCACCTTTTAAACATTGTCTTGTTTTCACTTTTACTCTAGGAATGAGAGTGATGGAGAAGCTGACAACTCAGAAAAGAAGAAATTACAGAATCAGCTGCAAGGTGAATGGACCACTGTTACATTTAGAGAAATAATTTATTTTGGGGCTGTGTTTTAAAAATACTGCGAATAGAACGATCTTGCTTTATAGTCCCAAAAAATGTAAGTGAATCTTAGGCCTCTTTGGGTCCATGCCTATTCTGTTCACTTTTAAGAACCATGACAATGTGAATTTTTAAAATTTAAGACTGAAGCTTAGCTTTGAGGTTGCTTTTGTTTGTAGATTTTGTTGAAGTTTTTGTTTAAGCAGAAGGTGCTGATTTCACTACTTTGAGACAGAATTGAAGAAGATTTGATTTCAGCAGGGTGCAGGTTTAATTTGTACAGGCTGTGTGAAGCACTCTGAGCTGATTACGGCATTAGTTTAAATTCAGTTCCCTTACACTAAGGAGCTCCTCTAACAGTGTAAGGGCACTGAATTATAAACAAATGCCTTAAGCAACTCAGAGTGCTTCACATTGCCTATTACCAATTAAACCTGTAACATTGTCCATGTTTAAACATAAATTTACAAAGTGGACTTGATGGTCAAAGAGTCAAAATTTGGGTTCACAATTTAAATATTAATGTTCACAGCAACAATTGGGCTGGTAGCCCTGCAGATTAGTGATGCTACCCAAATCCACTGAACTATCCTTATGGTATGTATTTGCAAGTGCCACATAATTTGACTTGCATCATGTAATCTCTGATGCTGTATCAGAAATTGAGGTTTGCTGATTTTCATTTGTAGAATTAGGTTATCGTGAACATCACTCCATGCACAGCCTCAAGGAAGTGATGTCCGCAGTCACTTTACAACGCACAAGTTGGCGATTTTTGTAGACAAAAATTGCTAAAATATTTAGAAAAAGGGAAAACATCTATTATGTGTTATTTTTTAAAAAAATTGAGAAGCTAACGATATATAATTCAAGGAAAAATGTAAAACTTGTATAATTATCAAATAGTTTTAATAAAAGGGTGTGGAGGGAAAGGATGTTAAAGTTGATTAAAGTTCTTTGTAATAGTTTAATATTTAAGAGATTTTTCCTTAATGTCAGCCTAATGCATTTTATCTCATAAATAGTTACTGTATATTTTTATTGTCCAGGTGCCATTGTCATGGAGAAGCCAAACGTTCGATGGGATGATGTTGCAGGTCTAGAAGGTGCCAAAGAAGCACTCAAAGAAGCTGTCATTTTGCCCATTAAATTTCCACATCTGTTTACAGGTTAGTAACATTGCCCATGTTTGAACATAAAGTTATTATGTGGACATGATTGTCAAATGAGTTGTTTCACCACAAATAAACAAATTATGTAAAAGAGACTATTTCAGAAGCAATATTTTACACGAAATTGCTATTTATTAACTGCAATTTATAAGATCCACCCAAACAGATATTTTTTCTTAAAAAGATCTTGGTTATAAAAAGCTTGTTCATTTCTGTAGACTCTTATAGTGCGAAGTTTAACATGCTCAAATTTTTATTTCCCTTTCTAGCAGCTAATTGTTCACATCCCAGAAAACATTTTTTTTCCAGCTAGTTCTTTCCTACCCCAGAAAGACACGCTAACCGAAAGGCAGGATAACTGACCATAATGTACCATCAATCAATCATTAATTAACTAAGTTCAATCCAGTTCTTACCAAGCAGTCGCCTTTTGTAAGGTACAGAGTATAGTAATTGAAATGTGTGAGGAGGAGGTTGCTAGGACACAGCAATTATGGTATTTATTAATGAGTACCATTAATATTAATGAATACAAGTTCTTACAACAAAACTGTAGAGCTGGAGATCCATGTGCAAATAGTGTAGTGTAACTGTTTAGTGTTAGACCCTCTTCTCCCCTCGCTTATAACGTCCATTTTTGGTGTATTCTAAATTACTATAGTTCTATACACTGCCACAAATACTATAATGCTAAGGACATATCTAGGTAGAAAATCTGAATTAGACAAAGTTTGCAGATATTACTTGCTGTGCTTTTGTTTTTTATCAGTTCACAAGATCTCAAAACAGGCTTATGAACATTCCATTTGATTATCCACCCAACCCTTTCCTTCCATTAGCTTCAGACTGATTCTCAAATGAGTCCAGCGTTCTGATCTATACCACTCTCCCTGGGAACCCGTTCCAGGCATTAATTACCCTGTGTTTAGTGATACTTCCTGGTATCTGTTCTGAAATTGCCCTTTGCAACCCTAAACTTATGCCTTTTTGTTGTGCTCCCATGGTGTATCTGAAAGTTAAATAACCTTTTCAGCTATCTGTATTGACACCTTTTAAAAGCCCTTCTTTGTAAGCGACCTCTATTATTTTTTAAATAGACCTGATTAAATTTCTTTGTTTAGTAAGATCATCTCCAAAGATAGCCACATCTAACTACTTTGGAAATAAACATAATGAGTTCTCTTTGTACAGGTAAGCGAACTCCATGGCGAGGAATCCTCCTTTTTGGTCCACCAGGAACTGGCAAGTCGTACCTGGCAAAAGCTGTGGCAACAGAAGCAAACAACTCAACGTTTTTCTCAGTCTCTTCCTCTGATTTGGTATCAAAATGGCTCGGGGAAAGTGAAAAGTGAGTATCTAATGCTTATTATAAGGACCGGGAAGAACACGAACCTATCAGATTTGAACTGGTAGCTCTTGAATTAATATGGTTTTTGAATGCCCGGGCGGCATAAAACTTTGGGCAAGTTTCCTTACTCCACATGCCTCTGTTTACCTAGCATTAAGTAGAAACCTGGTTGTTAGTCGATTGGTGGTTCACTTTTCCAGGGGTAATAATCTCTTTTTAAATAAAATAAATAAATAATAATTTGGTCACACAATCCATGACTGTTTGTGGCACACTGCTGTGCGCAATTGGCTGCCGCGTTTTGCCCACAAAATATACAGTCAATTCACTTTACAGTATATTCTGTGAAGCCCTTTGAGACGTCTCAGACATAATAAGACGCAAAATCAAATGCAAGGTTTATTATTATTAAAAGTGCTGTGGCATCAATCCTAATGCACATACCTCACATATTTTTAATGATAGCTATTGCACCTGAACAGTTAGTTACTTCGAAGTATTATTTCATGCTATACTCTTCTTAGTTCTTAGTAACTGCAATAAATTGTTAATTCAGTGTTTATATTTTGTTTTATCCAGATTGGTAAAGAATTTATTTCAACTTGCCAGAGATCACAAGCCTTCAATTATCTTCATTGATGAGGTTGATTCTCTTTGTGGCTCAAGGAGTGAAAATGAGAGTGAAGCTGCGAGGCGCATTAAAACTGAATTCTTGGTTCAGATGCAGGGTAAGCGTCAGTGATTCTGTCAGCCAAGAAATGGTCTGGTTTGTCTCAAGCATTTATAATAAGCACTAGAATATACGAAAGATGGTAATCAGGAAAGATCATTCAGTCTTTTGCTTCTGCAGAGAATATAGCTTTTACTTTATCCATAGAGCAATTGCACTGTACTTATGGCCCTCATCCTAATTCCTAATAATTCCATCCTTCAGATGAGAGGTTAAACTGAGGTCACACTTGCCTGTTCAGGTGGACGTTAAAGATGTCATGGCACTATCGAAAAGATAAGGAGTTTTGTCCTGGTGTCCCCACTAATAACTTTTTAATAAAATTGGTCATTCACTTCATGGTTGTTTGTGGGAAGTTACTGTGCGAAACTTGCCTGCTACGTTCGCCCATAAAACACAGTAACTCCACTCTATGGTATATCTTGTGAACCACTCTGGGACATCATCCTCACCTGAAAGATGTACCAAATATTAGGATTATTTTATTATTAATACAATTGGAGGCAATTCAACGCATCTGTTATGCGAGAGAGAATAAAAAATATAGAATATAGTAAATACTGCAAAATCCTTGCTTAGGATATTCAATGCGATGACTAAATCAGTGAAGCAGTGATAGCTTTCTCATGAACTACATCTATGTACTACACGTGTTACACAATTAATCTATTGGCAATTTTTGGCAGGGGTCGGAGTAGATAATGAGGGAATCTTGGTTCTTGGGGCTACAAACATCCCGTGGGTTCTGGATTCTGCTATAAGAAGAAGGTAAAATATCCTTGCAATTTTACTGTACTGTGCAACTGCTGAAACTTCAAATAATTACCTATATACCACATTACTGCTTAGGTCATGACTGCCAAATGGCTTCCAAACAAAAAAACTGTTGCTTTGTATTATCATTGACAGACAACAACAAAATTACATTTGTATAGCGACTTTCACGATGCGAGGGCTTCCCACAGACAGACAGGCTATTTAAATTGGTGAACTGTCATTTCCTTGTAAAGTATTGGACTGCTGGGACAGAGCAAACCATTGTGTTTAAAAATTTTTTTTAAAAACAACAAAACATTGTGCTTTAAGATAGCAATTAGGTAAGATAACCTTCCAGTGTCGCTTTTTTCCTCTTTAACATTTTACGAAAGCCTTTATTAGAATAGGGATGAGTTGCAAAGGACAATTTCTGGACAGACAGTGGGGGGGTTTTTTGGTTACCCAGCGGATAATTAACAAGTAAACAGTTTGCTAGAAAGGAAACTCATTTAGGCCAGGATTATTCATTTATTTTTAAATACAGCTTTGATGCTCTGATAAGATGGTAGGCTGGGTATTCTGAAAGAATGATGTTGAATGGGCCAAGGGGCCTTCTTCCTTTGAACCGTTCTTGAGATCTTCAACTCTGTGTTTTTCCATTCCTTTAAAGTTTTCATATTTAATCTATTTCCCTCTGCTCATTCTTCCTTGTAAAATCGTATCACTTCACACTTTTCATCTGCTTTATCCTCTTCGTGGGTAGCTCCCTGATCATGTGTTGTGAGTTCGTTGGTTGTGATTTTTTTTACCAGTGCCTGTACAATAATAGTTTGTTTTACCCTGAAACTGCTATCCTCCTACAGGTTTGAGAAACGCATCTTCATTCCACTACCTGAGAAAGCCGCTCGTAGTATAATGTTTAAACTGCACCTTGGAGTCACCCCAAACAGTCTGAATGAAGAAAATTATCGGACACTTGGAAGTAAAACAGAGGGATATTCTGGAGCTGACATAAGCATCATAGTACGGGATGCCTTGATGCAACCAGTAAGGAAAGTTCAGTCAGCTACACACTTCAAGAAGGTAAGATACCCCAGGAATAAAGTGATACTAAGGAACACCAAAGTCCACTTTTATTCAAAAAATCTAGGTTGGAGGGGAGAATTTAACATACAAGAATCCTGGATAAATTTAGTGAAAATCAGGATTTATTTTGGAACATCCTCTACATTCAAATTTCAAAAGTTGAGTACCTGGAAATTTAAGTTCCCACGATATACAAGAAGAGTCAGTTTTCACAAACCTCGCAATGCAAGTGCAGTGCTGCAATTGACATTACAACCAGGCCAGGCAACATGCAAAAGCATGGCCACCCAGAAAAAAAATTGTAAAAGTTGTAAATTTTTATGAAAATAATTTTTTTAACTAATTAACCGAAGAGTAGTTTTTAATGAAAAAACTTTTTTAAAAAACTTTAATGGTTTTCATGTATTCTGGAAGGAAAGGTGCAACCATTGCATTGGCAAGATACAGATGCTGCAACAAAACTGCCTCAGTCACGTCACCAAATTTAGTATTTTCTTACTTTCATTGTTCTGTGCCTAATTCCTTAAGCTAGTGTTGACCTTTGGTTTATTTTTGTCTGTGCTTTTGATCACTCCACCCTCTAACTCCACACTCAGCCACCCACCATCACCTTCATCTCTCCTAATCCCCAGCTCAGGTTCCTCGTCAGCTCTGTAAAAGCACTTTGTGCCAACCTCCCAATGTGAAAGGCACTATATAATTGTAAAATTGTTGTATCCTACTGCCAGACTGAATGTTCAACTGCTTAAAGGTAAGCAATGAAGATCTGCAGTGAACCACCTCCTTGTTTTGTTCTCAGTGCAAATTAGTTATGAGGAAGTTTGACTTTTAGATCAGTTATGTTGGAAGTGCAGGGATTGTTATGAAATTATAGCTACAACAAGAAATACCAGTTCAGCAATACTCAGCACCAGGCTGCCAGCTTAGAGTGCAAATTCACTTTTCAATAAAGAGTATGATTATAAATGTAGCACTAATTTTCTTCATCTTAGTAAATAATATACCCTAACATTTGAGCTTTGCGTTTTGTTTTTATAGGTCCGAGGAGCTTCAAATGTAAATCCTTCTGTAATTGTGGAAGATCTGCTAACCCCATGTTCACCTGGTGATCCCAATGCTGTGGAAATGACCTGGATTGATGTTCCAGGAGAAAAACTGTTGGAACCTGTAGTGTCAATGGCAAGTGCCTTTTTTCTTATAGACCAAATCTTTCTCATTGCAATCCTGACAGTTCAGTTCTTGCCCTCAGAGCTCATTTTTAGAGGAAAAAAAATGAAATTTAAAATTGCTTTGAATGTGTGTCAAAGGCATATGTATGTTTGTTTTGTTCCCTCTGTTGGTTTGAAAACAATACAAAATAAGTGATCTTCAGTTCACTTTGGCACAAATATGGTAGTACCATACACCGATAATAATCCTTGTATTTGGTACAATACCTATACATTTGGTACAATGTGCGTCAGCCTGGCTCAGTTTGGAGCATTCTCATTGCTGAGTCAGAAGGTTGTGGGTTCACATCGGACTTTTAACTCGTAGAGTCTAGGTTGACGCTCCAGTGCAGTGTTGGAGGAGTGCGGCATTATCAGAGATGCTGTGCTTCAGATGAGTCATTAAACTAAAATCCTATCTATACAGCAACAACTTGCATTTATATAACGCCCCTCACACAGGGTAACGTCCCAGAGCGCTTGACACTGGCGAAGCGCGACATTAAGCCGGGGGAAGGGGGAGGTGACTGTAGGTGTAGTCGACTAAGAAGGTCTTCAGGCGTGACCTGAAGATGGGGAAGGAAGACTTCTCCTCTAGCCCCTGCACGGTTATGTGTGGCGTTTTCAAGGCTCTATCCTCGGTCCCCTCCTCTTCAGTCTATCCATGTTCCCACTCGGCAATGTCATCCGCAGGCATGGGGTCAATTTCTATCTGTATGCAGATAGAACAATAATAAAATATAGAACAATAATAAATTGGTCATTTTCAATCTACGACTGTTTGTAGGACATTGCTGTGCGCAATTGGCTGCCGCGTTCGCCCACAAATATACAGTCAATTCACTTTACGGTGTATTCTGTGAAGCGCTTTGGGATGTCCTCCCGACGTGAAAAGCGCTATATCAAATGCAAGGATTATTATTATTATTATGACACCCAGCTCTATCTCACCGCCTTCACCCTTGACTCCAGGACTATTGATGTCCTGGCTAATTGTCTGTCTGACATCAATTCCTGGACGAAAGCCAACTTCCTGTAGCTCAATGTTAGCAAGACAGAGGCCCTCCTGCTTGGCTCCCGGCAGCACCTTCTTACCTCAGCTGCTGACACTATCACCATTCATGGCTGCACACTTCACCTCACCGAGCCAATCCGAAACCTCGGTGTCCTTTTCGACCCTCAGCTATTCTTCAAATCCCACATTCGTGCCGTGACCTGTTTCACCTTTCCCAACCTCCGCAACGTTGCCCGCCTCCACCACTGCCTCACACTGAAGGCTGCCGAGACCCTGATCCATGCTTTCATTACATCGCAGCTTGACTATGCCAACTGCCTGCTCTATGCCAACTAGACTTCCCCACTCTTCCCTACACAAGTGCAAATTATTCAGAACTCTGCAACTTGTGTCCTCTCCTGCACCCGGATCCGGGAACCTATCACCCCCATTCTTGGCCGGCTTCGCTGGCTCCCCATTCCTCAGAGAATCAAGTACAAAATCCTTGTTCGTACCTTCAAGGCCCTCCATGGTCTTGCTCCCCCCTACCTCTCTGACCTTATAGCCCCATATCAGCCTGTCCGCTCCCTCCACTTAATGGACACCGGATGCTTCAGGTCCCCCGCACTTTCTGCCCTCCATTGTCGGCCGGGCATTCACCATCTGCCCCCACACTCTGGAACTCTATCCCGCAATCCCTCCACCTCACCACCTCTCTTGCCTTCTTCAAATTGCGTCCGAAGACCTTCATCTTTGATCGTGCCTTCGGCCACCTTTCTCCCCCCACCTTCTGACCTCTACTCCCAGCTTGGGTCCAAAACCCTGGGATGTCTTTCTGACATGAAAGATGCTATACAAGTGTAATTTGCTGCTGCTGTTGTTGAAGGGGCAATTGGAGGGATAGAGGAAAAGTGTTCCAGAGTTTCAGGGCATAGTGGCTGAAAGCGCAGCCATCAATGGTGGAAGGGAGGGCACAAGGGACATGCAGAAGGCTGGAGCCAGTCAAGCAGAGGCAGCGGGGTTGTGGATTAGGGGTAAGCAGGTTGGAGAGGTAGGGAGGTATCAGGGCATGAAGGGATTTGAAAACGAGTGTGAGGATCTTGAAATCAATCAAAAAGAGAAGGGAGTTTCTTCTGGTGTGCTGCCTAACCAGATAAAATTGTTCATTCACTTCATGGCTGTTTGTGGGACTTTCTGTGGGACATTGTGCTGGTGCATTCACCTACAAAATACACAATTGCTACACTTCACAGTAAATCATTTCCAATGTGAAAGGTGCTATACCTAATGGAAGACATTATTAAAATATTGTCTCAAAGTGCATGACAGTAGTTAATGTGAAGTGTTGTGTCTGTGTACTTGTGGGCAATTACAGTAGGCAATTTGCAAAAAACTCCTCTTTTCAAATAATGTCATGGATTCTTTAACATCCACCTGAACAGACAGATGGACCTTCGTTTAGCAGCACCTGTGAGAGCACCAATGAAGTGCTTCCCCAATATTGAATTGTTGTGTTCAGCTCGTCTTCGAGCTCAAGTCCCAAGATAGGACTTGAACCCACAACCTTCTGACCTACAATAACATAAGCATCTTTCAGTAAAGGTCCAATAAATTTTAGGTTTTGTTTTCAATAACACACTAGAAAATATTCAATTGAAGCTTTGAATTTGTGGTTTGTTCATAATTATTTTTAGATTTTTAGTCTGATTAAGCCCTAATGGTTAAGGTAGTCCTTGCTGAACAAGCAGCTGGAAGCTTGCCAGACAGTAGCACAATTATGAAAATGAATGCCAGAGCCATAACAGATTTACTTAGAATAGCAGATAATCCCAGCATTTTATAATGCAATTCGGGCAGTTCATTGAGCATTAAAGACATGTCTTGAATGTAAAATTTAGTTTATATTAATAGCTTGTTAGGAGAGTGTTCTGATCACTTGGACTGATTGATTTGTTTTAAATTAATCATTGATTGATCTAGTTCCTTTACATTTTGTTCCCTATCTCATATTTTTCCCCATTTTCTTTAAAGGATGACATGCTACGATCCTTAACAAATACAAAACCAACTGTTAATGATGAGGACCTGAAGAAGTTGAAGAAATTCACAGAAGACTTTGGGCAGGAAGGCTAAAGCAGAAACAATTCATATGCAAAATAGTTCCTTTTTTCTGTACATTTCTTTTCTATTCACTTAAACTTATGACAGTGAGTTTTTCTTCATCACTTTGTGGAAGTTCAAGCACTATTACGTTTTTGAGGTCATGGGACTTTATATGCAGCTTGAGTGAATAATGGTTTAAATATTCTATGTCTACATTTGCCTATGAATGGACCATCTCTCACTATATATGTAATATAAATAAATTGAGAGAAATTCCAAATGCTACCAAGAGTTTACCATGGATTTTGTTTAAAGAATATTGTACATTGGCTATATCGTGGAATACAATAATATTGAATGTTATAGCCTAAATACTTTTTGAATGGGGCATTTTAGACGAGCTATTTGCACATTAATTCTTCTAAGCGTACTAACCATGGGCTTGGACTATTATAATTCTCTAAAATTCCTGATTAATTCTGTACAATTATGTAATTTGAGTTCTTATACATAAACGATCAGTCATTTGTATTCAAAGAACTACTTTAACGTAAGCAATTTTCACAGCTCCAGCGATTTCTTTTTTAAATGTGTTTTGAGGGTTTAAGAAATCTGAAATGTTTGCATTTTCTCTCCTAATTTCTGTTTGTAAATAAAGCTTATTGGAAATCACCTCCTCACAGTGAATAGAATTTGTTTTAATGTTTTGGTTCACTAAATCTTTTAGAAGAATGTAAAGAAATAATATTCCTTGCATTTGGTGCAGCCCTTTTCACATCTGGATGACATCTCAAAGCACTTAACAAGAGTTTCTGTGGAATGGAGTAATGCAACATCCCAATTGCGCACAGCAATGTCCCATAAACAGACATGAAACAAATGAACAATTTTACTTGGAGATTGTTTATTGCAGGGATTGCCACGACACCAGGAAAAACTCTTTTCCAATAGTGGTAAAGGAACTTTTAATGACCAGCTAAACAGACAAGACGGGATCTCAGTTTAACATCTCATCTGAAGGACAATGCAACGGGTTTGAACCAATAACCTTCAGACCCAGAAGTGAGAATGGTACCACTGAGCCAGAGTGATACTCAAGGAATCAGAGGAAGCAATGAAAGAATTGACAAACAATTCCTACCACCAAGAAACGGAAGCAAAGGACCTCTGGGCTAATCGCTGGTCAACATTGATGCAAATGGTGGAAAAGTTCAGACCTTAGACTGATCAATATAAAGAACTTGCATTTTTTAGAAGGCTTTATCATGTTTATCTCAATATTCTTTATAATAATTATTGTAAGTATGGTGACTTTTCATCATCTGATTTGGACAGTCGCCCAAAGGTACTGGCAGAAAATAGCAATGATATTGCCAGGGATATTGTTTTGCATGTAGCCTCAAGATGTGTCCTCTGCAGATTTCTGCAAGATGGAGGATTAGTCATTGTTTGCTACACTTGTTCTTTACAATGATCTTCAAACTGAAATCAGGTCGTCTCTGAGTTTGAATTCTTGAAATTGTCAGCTCTCATTAAACACTCACAAGTGGTTTTAAAGAAAGCTGTTTAATGAAGAGACTTTGCCAAAGGCCCTCACATTGAACTGGGTTAAGCCCACAGTAACACTCCCAGTAAATTTGTGCTGTAAAATTGCCCCCCTTCAAATTCGGCCCCAAAGGCCTTTATAATCGTACCGATGGACACCACCCGCCCACCCCGCCCTTGGCTCGCTGTCACGACTCCGCCGCTGTGAAGCGCTCCGGGGCGCTATCCGGCGTGAAGAGCGCCGCGCGGACGCGAGCGGTGGCCGCGCTCTCCGCTGTCCCGATGTCCTCGCTGCAGGAAGGTGACCGGACCTGCGGGCGGGCGGGCGGGCGGGCGGCCCGGGACGTGCGGTCTGACCGAAGTTTCATTATAACCATTGACCGGCGGTCGGCGGGTGGGCCCTGTGGTGGGGGGTGGGGGGGTTGGTGGGGAAGGTTTTTTTTTCTCTCTCTCGTTATTTTTTTCGGGTTTCGGGCCCTGGTCCCAACTGGGGTTTGAATGCCCCCAAATCAAACATTTATTTTTAAATTTTTAAATTTTAAAGCGATGAGGTGCAAAAGTTCGGAGAATTGCTTGAACGGGAAGTGAACAAATACTCTCCCGATCGCGTTTAAGTAAATATATATATATATATATGTATATACTTAAACGCGATCGGGAGAGTAGTTGTATTTGAGTATATATATATATATATATATGTGTGCGTTTTTTTTCCCGACTCCGACTCGTGCGTCCGCGCGCGGCACTGGGGCGGGAGGGGCCGCCACGACTACAATTCCCACAGTGCCCCGGGGCGGGGGCTGCCGCGCATGCGCGTCTGTGTGCTGCCAGGCTCTGGGAGGGGGGAGGCTGTTTGGTGATTTGCTTTCGCTGTGGGGCTCAGGGGCGGTCACTCACTCACACACACAGTCACTCGCATACACACACAGTCACTCACACAGTGGCCGCAGCCCTCCCCTCCCTGTCTGTCTGTCCGGGACTCTGGCCGTCGCCGCGGGCCTGTGCGGTGCAGTGCGGTGCGGTGCAGTGCAGTGTGGATCAATGTTCTCCCTGGGGGAGGGCTTCTCTGTGTGGAGCGACTTCTCGGGTTGGCGCCCGCTGCTGCTCGTCATGCTGCTGGTGGTCGGGGCCTTCATCGTGGCCTTCGTGCTGCTCTTGTACATGGTGTCGCCGCTCATCAGCCCCAGGCCGCTGAAACTGAACGGGGCCCACGTCGTGGTGAGTGAGTGAGTGAGTGAGTGACTGAGGCGGTGAGTGGGTGACTGAGGCGGTGAGTGAGTGACTGAGGCAGTGAGTGACTGAGGTAGTGAGTGACTTACAGGCAGTGAGTGACTTACAGGCAGTGAGTGACTGAGGCAGTGAGTGACTGAGGCAGTGAGTGACTGAGGCAGTGAGTGACTGAGGCAGTGAGTGACTGAGGCAGTGAGTGACTGAGGCAGTGAGTGACTGAGGCAGTGAGTGACTGACAGGCAGTGAGTGACTGAGGCAGTGAGTGACTGAGGCAGTGAGTGACTGAGGCAGTGAGTGACTTACAGGCAGTGAGTGACTTACAGGCAGTGAGTGACTGAGGCAGTGAGTGACTGAGGCAGTGAGTGACTTACAGGCAGTGAGTGACTGAGGCAGTGAGTGACTGAGGCAGTGAGTGACTGAGGCAGTGAGTGATTGACAGGCAGTGACTGAGGCAGTGAGTGACTGAGCCAGTGAGTAATTGACAGGCAGTGAGTGACTGACAGGCAGTGAGCGACTCAGGCAGTGAGTGACTGAGCCAGTGAGTAATTGACAGGCAGTGAGTGACTGACAGGCAGTGACTGAGGCAGTGACTGACTGACAGGCAGTGACTGACTTACAGGCATTGAGTGACTTACAGGCAGTGAGTGACTGACAGGCAGTGAGTAACTGAGGCAGTGAGTGACTGAGGCAGTGAGTGACTGAGGCAGTGAGTGATTGAGGCAGTGAGTGACTGAGGCAGTGACTGACTGACAGGCAGTGACTGAGGCAGTGAGTGACTGACAGGCAGTGAGTAACTGAGGCAGTGAGTGACTGACAGGCAGTGAGTGACTGAGGCAGTGAGTGATTGACAAGCAGTGACTGAGGCAGTGAGTGACTGAGGCAGTGAGTGACTGAGGCAGTGAGTGACTGAGGCAGTGAGTGACTGACAAGCAGTGACTGAGGCAGTGAGTGACTGAGGCAGTGAGTGATTGACAAGCAGTGACTGAGGCAGTGAGTGACTGAGGCAGTGAGTGACTGAGGCAGTGAGTGACTGAGGCATTGAGTGACTGAGGCAGTGAGTGATTGACAAGCAGTGACTGAGGCAGCGAGTGACTGAGGCAGCGAGTGACTGAGGCAGCGAGTGACTGAGCCAGCCAGCGAGTGACTGAGCCAGGCAACGAGTGACTGAGCCAGGCAGCGAGTGACTGAGCCAGGCAGCGAGTGACTGAGCCAGGCAGCGAGTGACTGAGCCAGGCAGCGAGTGACTGAGGCAGTGAGTGACTGAGGCAGGCAGCGAGTGACTGAGGCAGCGAGTGAGTGAGGCAGGCAGTGAGTGAGGCAGCGAGTGGCGGACAGGCAGCGAGTAACAGTGAGTGAGACAGGCAGACATTGAGTGAGTGAGACTGACAGTGAGTGAGTGACTGAGGCAGATAGTGAGTGACTGAGGCAGATAGTGAGTGTGTGACTGTTGTTACACAAGGTCCTGCCGGGGAAGCTGAGGGTATCAGTGGTTTGGATTACAAGTTAACCAACCACTATTTTTTTTAAAAACCTCTGGGTTGTTTAAAACAGGACTGCTAACAAATATATGTTGCAACAATCGCATGATATTGCCCAGAATTTGAAAACCGCAGCAGTCTGGGTGAAATAGAGTATTTAGGGATTGTTTTGCAATTGTTTGTATAACTCTGAGCAAATGCTTAAATTTGATTTCCTCCGATTCTCACTGCGAGAAAATGCTGGACTTCCTCGAGTCCAAAATTGCTCAGCTGCCACTGCCCTCCCAAATTTCAACCCCTCCTTACCCCCACCCCACACAAGTACCCATCCGACAACTACCCATCCCTCCTTCCACACCTTTGAACCTGTCACCGCCTCCTCTGTCTTCAACACGGTAACCTCCATGAAGTCCACCACCTGCTCCCTCAACCCCATCCCCGCCCCTCTACTTAAATCCCAGCTCCACCTCTTTGCCCCACTACTCGCCGACATCATTAACCTCTCAATGTCATCTGGCACTGTTCCTTCCCCCCTCAAAACAGGCACTGTTACCCCCATCTTGAAAAAATCTTCCCTCGACCCATCACAGCTATCCAGCTACCAGCCCATCTCAAATCTCCCTTTCCTATCCAAGGTCCTTGTGAGAGCAGTTGCCTCCCAGCTTCGCTCTTTCTCCTCCCACTCCTTCCATGAACCCCTCCAATCGGGTTTCCGGGCTGCCCACAGCACAGAAACTGCTCTGGCCAAGGTCACAAACAACATCCTGACCATGTGTGACCAGGACTCCCTCTGCCTACTTGTCTTCCTCGACCTCTCCACCGCCTTTGACACCATGGACCACTCAATCCTCCTCCACTGCCTCTCCTCCCACTTCAACCTTCAAGGTTCTGTCCTTGACTGGTTCAGGTCCTACCTTTCACACCACCTCCACTTCGTTGCGGCAAACGGCTTCTCCTCCAGCTCCCGCACCGTCTTGTGCGGTGTTCCTCAGGGCTCTGTCCTCGGTCCCCTCCTCTTCACCCTCTACATGCTCCGCCTTGGTGACGTCATCCGCATACATGGGATAAATTTCCACATGTGTGCGGATGACACACAACTCTACCTCTCTGCCTCCACCCTGAACTCCAGGATTACTGAGGTCCTGTCCGACATCAAGTCCTGGACGAGGGCCAACGTTCTCCAACTCAACATCAGCAAGACCGAGGCCCTCCTGATTGGCTCGCGCCAGCGCCTCCGCACCTCAGGCGCTGGCAGCATCAGCCTCCACGGCTGCACACTCAACCCCACTAAGCCACTCAGGAACCTGGGTGTCTTGTTTGACCCTGAACTGTCCTTTCTCCCCCACATCCGCGCCATGACCGGCACTGCCTACCACCACCTCCGCAACATTGCCAGACTCCGCCACTGCCTCACCCCTCAGGCTGCCCAAACCCTCACCCACGCATTCGTCACCTCAAGGCTCGATTACAGGAACTCCCTCCTCATGTGCCTTCCCAACCCTTCCCTTCACAAGCTGCAGATCATCCAAAACTCTGCAGCTCGTGTACTCTCACGCACCAGACTCCGTGACCCCATCACTCCCACCCTCGCCCGACTCCACTGGCTCCCCATCCCCCAGGGAATCAAGTTCAAGATCCTCGTCCTCACCTTTAAGGCCATCCATGGCCTGGCCCCCTCCTACCCCTCTGTCCTGCTGACTCCCTAAGAGCCTGCCCGCTCCCTTTCTTCATCGGGCTCTGTCCTGCTCCATGTCTCCTGCCCGACCCGCCCTACTATCAGTGGCCGGGCTTTCAGCCTCTCTGCCCCCACACACTGGAACTCCATCCCACAGTCCCTTTGCCTCTCTTCCCCCCTGTGCCTCCTTCAAGGCCGGTCTCAAGACCCTTCTCTTCGACTGTGCCTTTGGTCTTCCTCCCACCTCTCTGCCTTCCCTCACCCCTACACCACCCCTCCCCCAGGATGTCGGGTCCCGACATCTGATTGTTCCGCGCTTTGGGATGTCCTCCCGACGTGAAAGGCGCTCTGTAAATGTCATTTTGTTGTTGTTGTTGTACCTAAAATTAGTCCACGACAGACTAGCAGCCAGATTGCTTCTTTATTCTGGAATTTAAAATTTGACCACCCCTCAAAAAAAACCATAAGATTTAGATACTGCAGTGTGGGTCGTGTTGCAAGAGTCACATTTCATGTGCCCGGATACTCACCCGAACAAAACTCCAGACCCCCATCACACCAGTCTTTGCCGCACTGCATTGGCTCCCAATTACACAACAGATTGACTTCAAGAACCTCTACTCGTTTTCAAATCCCTTCATGCCCTCGCACCTCCTCCCTGTCTGACCTGCTCCCCCCCCCCCCCACCCACGCTACCCTCTGCTGGGCTGGCTCCGGCTCCTGTTTGTCCCTTGTGCCCTCCAGTCCACCACCGTTGCCTTCAGCCACTACGCCCCAAAACTCTGCAACTCTCCCTCAATCCCTCTGCCCTGCGCCCTCCCCATCAAATCCCGCCCTAATGACCTTTGTAATTGTGCTTAAGGTCACCTCCCCCCCTCTCTCTCGCTGGCTTGGGGTCAGACTCTGCCACTGTCAAGCGCTTCAGGACGCTACCCCACGTGAAGGTCTCTGTATAAATGCAAGTTGTTGTTCTAATATGAAAGGCAATGTATCAAATGTTAGATTTATTTAACGGTATATAGGGCGCTGTATCTTTACACTTGATGTAGATCCTTATACTGCCAAAACCTCTCAAAATGCTTTACAGGATTTACTGTAAAATGTATTGACCGTGCATTTTTTGAGTAATGTATTGAGTTCAGGTTAAAGGCATACCATCGTGTAACCCCTAGTAAGGTGCAGTTCTCGTTCATAAGAGAGGCTTATGTGATCGTACGTGTACCTTAATCTAACTGCTGAAACTTTTGCTTTCTTGCTTGCTTCCTTCCTTCCTTCCTTTGTATTCCACTTGATATTTTTCCCATGCTATCTTCCTCTTCTTGGATAAAATATTCTTCTTTGGAAATGTTTTTTCTGAAAACGCACGTACCTTATCTTGGGTTGGTTTTGCATGCTTGGGCACAGATGCCAAATGTGTCCATAACATTTTTGCAGAATGTAGTTCCCAACATAGAAATCAGCCTATTCTAGAGTTGAAACGGACAAGCTTCAGCCAGCTTAGCATTGAATCCCTTTCTTAATTTAACTGCAATGTTTAAATTACATTCTGGTCAGAGAGTCTCCAGGTGCAGCTTTTCTGATTCACTTAAATGTCTGTGTCTCTGACACTCCAATTGGTTCACTCTTGCATTGGGAAGTTAGCCAATTCCTTATTGCTACCATACTCTATTGGCGTTTGACCAATATTATTGCCTGTGTTAGGTAAAACACATCTTAAGTTACCCACAGTTTCGTCGTCAACTTTATCATTGCTCTGTATGTGAGTGTTTTCTTGTCAAGTTAGAAGAATTGTAGACAACGACTAATAAATACACTTTTAAAGGAAATTGATTGAGTAGAAAGAGATTGATCTACGCACACAATTTAAATGATAATCATAAACCTAAAGATGTTTTGTTCAGCATTAAATAGTTAACATGTATTTAAGATTGTATTTTTGTGTCAAGTTATTAAACAAACCATAAGATAAACTCTGTGTTTTTATTATTAACTAATTCTCATTTGTTTTCATTATTGTAAATTGCAGAAAGATTTGCTACATGGTCTATTTAATTGTTGAAAGAGAAATGTTTGTTTTTTAATGCTGCATATTTTAACAACAAACAACAACAAATTACATTTGTATAGCACCTTTTACATTGGGAGGACGTCCCAAGGCGCTGGACAGGTAAAGATTTAAATACAGTATTAACATTTGCTTTTATTCTGGTAGGTGACTGGAGGATCCAGTGGTATTGGAAAATGCATTGCCATAGAGTGCTTCAAGCATGGTGCTTTTATAACCTTGGTGGCTCGGGATGAGGTATGTGACTGGATGAATTGGTAATTTATCAATGTTGAATATTTTCATTGTTTCCCATAGAAAAACTGTTGGGGATGAAATGTATCTGCCATAACCAGCAGTGAATAGGTTCATATCTGGAATTCATATCCCCTCATCTTCAATATCTATATACTCTCTCTTGGTTACATCATCCACAGACATGGGGTCAACTTCCACATAGTTGAACCAGGCGAGTGCGGTCCCACTGAGGTGGATGACGGAGGAAAGTTGGTGGAGGAGGATGGCGTGATCGACTGTGTCGAACGCGGCGGAGAGGTCCAGGAGGACAAGGAGGCAGAGGGCTTCCCATCACTTCACTGGCTTCCCATCACTCAGAGGATACATAGAGTAGGCCGGAGCCCGATGAAGGGAGGGAGCGCAGGCTCTTAGGGAGTCAGCAGGACAGAGAGGTAGGAGGGAGCAAGGCCATGGATGGGCTTAAAGGTTCAAGGTCCTGGTCCTCACCTCCATGGCTTTGCTCCCCCCGCCTCTGCCACCTCCTAACCCCCTACCATCCTGCCCGATCCCTCTGCTCAGTGAGCTCCGAACTGCTTCACGTTCCTCGCCTGCCCCACCATTGGCGGGTGAGCCTTCTGCCACTCTGCCCCACTCTCTGGAACTCCGTCCTGCAGTCCCTCCACCTCGCCCACTCCCTTGCCTCCTTCAAGACCCATCTCAAGTCCCTCCCCTTTGACTGTGCTTTCGATGTTCTTGCTTCCCCCAATTGCCCTCCACCTTCCCCAATCTTGATGCGCTGCTCGGGTCCGAAACACTGATGCCTTGGGACGTCCTCTCGACGCGAAAAGCCCTGTACAAATATTTTGTTGTTGTTGAATTACAAAACTGATTCTTTTAGCATATTTGGAGGGGGAGACAGAATATTATGATTATTGAAATGTTGTCCATATTCATACTTGTCCTGAAAACTGACTATACTGTGAGGGTCAGACAGAAAGTGGTGAAAAGGCTTCAGTATTTCTATCCTAGAAGAAGGTTTCCTTCATCTTTTAAGAAGTATTTTAAACCCCAAATTAAACATTTTATTGTATGAACGAAGGTAGCTATGGTTTCTTCAGTTACAATCCTTGGTTTCAAACAGTCTCCCTGATTAGTATTTACGTTATAATTAAGGATTTTGGAGTTGCTGCATTTGCACGTCCAGCACTTTCTTAAAAGAGGCATTGCGACTTCCTTTCTTCTTCTCACCCCCCCCACCACCCCAGGTTTTCTCTGTATTCCCCTATTCTTTTCTCTCTCATTGACTCTCTCATGATCACACTTAAAAGTGATCACACTATCTTATGGTTATCTTACAAAAAATATTTATAGCTTGAACAGAGGTCAAACTGAACCGAACACTTTGTTTTAAACTGCAATCCAAAAAGTGTTGCCAGTAAATATTGACCTATTGTGCTTAATAATACTCCTTGCATTCGATATATTGCCTCATCATGTCTTTGAGCCGTCTCAAAGCACTTCACAGAATGTACTGTAAAGTGAAATGACTATATTTTGTGAGTGAAATGGGCCAGCCAATTGTGCACACTAGTGTCCCAAATTATTGTTATTTATTTATTTTTGATATGATTATTACCCTGGAAAAGCAATCCGCCAATTGAGTAATGACTGGCTTCCTACTTATTGCTAGGTAATCAGGCATGTGGAGTAAGGAACCTTGCCCAATGTTTTGCCCTACCCAGGAATTGAACCCAGGTCCTCTCATTTGCAAGGTGAATGCTCTAAACACTTCACTACAGTAATAATAATCCCTCCAAAAAATAAAACAACAATAAATTGGTCATTTTCAATCCACAACTGTTTATGGGACATTGCTGTGCGCAATTGGCTGCCGGCTTCCACCCACAAATCTACAGTCAATTCACTTTACAGCATATTATGTGAAGTGCTTTGAGACATCTAGAAGACGTGAAAAGCGCTATATCAAATGCAAGGAATATTATTACAGTACTCCACAAACTGACCCTATTGTTTTCTGAATTAAATGAGGTTGAACTTTTAAATAATTTTGAAGTTTTTAAAAGTGTCAAAGGACATGGTCCTCTAGGTCCCTTTGATTTCCAAGATCTGATTGTGCAACACTTGTTTTGTTACTTTATTAAATATTTATTTTGGTAGTAGTCAGAAAAGGGACTTTTTCCATGTGTTTTGGCAAAGCTAGTCTGATGCCACAGGGTCACCAACCAATCCAGCCTTGAACTGGAAATAATAAAAACTGAATGAAATAGAGAAAAGTGCAATGGTTACATATTGATTGAAATTCTAGTCTCTTGACTCACCATAATTGAAACTCAGTTTACTCTAGGACAAGGACAGAAGTCACCAATGCTATTGTAATAATAATCGTGGCGTTAGATATATCGCCTTATCACGTCTTTGAGACATCTCAAAGCGCTTCACAGAGTATACTGTAAAGTGAATTGACTGTATATTTTCTGGGCGAACCACTTCAGCAGATTGCACACATATGTGCCCCACAAACAGTCGTGAATTGAGTGACCAGTTTATTTATTTTTTGAAGGGATAATTGCCCCCAGAAAAGCGATAGAAAGGGTTAGATTTCACTTGTCCAGTCCGGTCAGTGTGTGATATACATGAAAAATAGACAGGAGATTCCATCAAGTTATTAAGTGGTAAATACTACATGTAATTACAAGGTAATTCTTGTCCCATCACCACTGGGACAATTAATGCAAAACTCCACCGCCCGGATACTCATCCGCACAAAACTCCGTATCCCCATCACACCACGTGGAGTCCTGTAGCTCTGTGGTTAGAGCACTCGCTTTGCAAGCGAGACACCTGGGTTCAATTCCAGGCAGAGTGAAACCTTGGGCAAGTTTCCTTACTCCACACACCTAATAATAATCCCTACAAAACAATAATAAATTGGTCATTTTCAATCCACAACTGTTTGTGGGACACTGCTGTGCGTAATTGGCTGCCGCGTTTCGCCCACAAATATACGGTCAATTCACTTTACAGTCTATTCTGTGAAGCGCTTTGAGACGTCGAGAAGACGTGGAAAGCGCTATATCAAATGCAAGGATTATTATTATTATTACCAGTCCTTCCCAGGCTCCACTGGCTCCCAATTACTGAACAGATCCAATTTAAGATCCTCTTGGCTGCCGTGTTTCGCGCACAAAATACACAGTCAGTTTACTTCACAGTATATTCTGTGAAATGTTTTGAGAAGACTCAAAGACGTGATAAGGCCCAATATCAAATGCAAGGGTTATTATTTAATATTATGTAGCGCTTTATCACGCCGTTGAGACGTCTCAAATCGCTTCACTGAATATATTGTAAAGTGTATATTTTGTGGGGAAACGCGGCAGCCAATTTTACACAGCAATCATAAGGGATGATTATTGTATGAACTTTATCACCACAAACTGGTTAAATAATATCAGCTTTTCTCCCGTGGCCCTATCTCCCTTCAGCTCAGAGTGGTTTATTCTGAGAAGTGCTTTCCCCACTGCCAGTGGGAGTTCTTATAATTGGTTATCGGGTTGCAAGTCAGCTGATGCCCACAGAGCAGACTCTCCTCCCTCCTTTTCTTGTCTGAGATGAAGAATACTCTTTCTGATTTTTTTTGTGTGCTCCACCCAATGCCAACTCTGCCCTAATTCAGAGCAATGCCAGGTTTTGCAAATGTTCAGTACTTGTTTCCTCTTAGTAAATACGCATTGCCAATAGTATAATCCTCACTTCTCTATTATTTTGGAAGACTGAAATTGTCTAACCGAACAAGTGATCTAGTTTCTTTTAAAATATTATTCATGTACGTCCTCCCCTCTTTTCTTGGCTTTCTCCTTTCTCCCCCTCCTTGACACCAGCAGTACTAGTGACTCATGGAAACAAGTTACTGTTGACACTCTTAGCTGGAGGTAGGTACAGTATGTAGCAACGCAGACATGTGAAAGAGAATGGATTCAAAAAGGATAAGGATATTAAAAATGACTAGTTTAGGTGGATTATGTTTTCTATTGACATGCCTGGAGAATGGTTTGATTACTACTGTGTAGAACAGTCAAACCTACTTATAATAAGTGTGCATCGTTGTTATTTAACTTGAACAAAGTAATTACAGATTGCAGTGTTTCATGAAACTGCTGACAAAGGAGAATTCTTTCCATGTTGGGTGGTGAAAGGGGGTGGGAAGGAACAAATAATGTACGTTATATAATAGAGATTTTGTGATGCTTCGGTGATGTTTACTGAAAGTCTAAAAGAAGCACCAGAAAAATGTGTCAAATTTTTACAATCTTGTTCTCTGCTTCTTGTTAGGGCAAACTTCTGCGGGCAAAGAAGGAAATCGAAAAACATTCAATTAATGACAAGCAGGTGGGTGTAGCAGACTTTTTAAAAAGTTCTGTGTTGTGGGTGTGAATCCCTCGTGGTTTAAATAGTCCTTTTGTTTTTGAGCAGCATCATTGTTCATTGATGAAAGGAAGCAATTAATTTAGGATTGGTGGTGGGGAGGGGGGATAGGCTTATTTTCCTCATGGCTGGATTAACTGCTTAACTGTGCCACTCTGATTAAAATATTTGTTTCTGGCTGATCAGTGCAAAGTAGATTAAATTGTACTCCAAAACTAATTAATATCTGTTTGATTTAAGATGAGCTGAATGGAACTGAAGTGTTTCTGAGTAAGATTGTCTGGGTGTCGCTAGCTTTTATTTCAGTAGGGTGTTGCCAGTTAAATTATTGTTGGTTGGGAATGAAAAGTGAAGGGAAAATGTTGTTTCCCTGTCTTCTCTGTTTTAAGCCTGTGCACTAACACTATTGAGTTTGGGAATTCAAAGTGGAATTTTGGGATGGAATTCATGTACTTTAACCCTGCCCACCCCACCATAGACCATGTATCTGTTCTTTTTAGAGCTTCTTCCCCAGTTCCATTGAAACCAATTTAGAATAGGTGTAAAACGCAAAATACTGCAGATGCTGGAAATCTGAAACAAAAACAGAAGTGACTGGGAACACTCAGCAAGTCAGGTAGCATCTATGGAGAAAGGAAAGTGAGTCAACACTTCGGGTCCATGACCCTTCGTCAGAACCGCCACGACCCGTTCTGATGAAGGGTTGTGGACCTGAAATGTTGACTCACTTTCCTTTCTCCGTAGACGCTACCGACCTACTAAGTGTTCCCAGCGACTTCTGTTTTTGTCAGAATAGGTGTAATTTAGTAGAAAAAGTGTAATTCAACCCATTGTGTGTCTGCTCCTATTGGTTTCTTATGCCATGGGTTTATAGCCCTTTGACGTGAAGTTCTGTTAAGGAAATTGAACTGTTTGGTTCCAAGTACTCAGTCTGCTGCACTTACAAATTCTCTTTGAGCAGTGAATGTCTTCTGACCATTTCACAGGTGGTGCTGTGCATTTCTGTCGACATATCAAAAGACTATGGCCAAGTCGCAAGTGTAATCAAACAAGTAAGTTTGCTTTCTTGACTTTTTGTTTTAAGGGAAACACATGTTTCACTTCTGTTCCAAGAGATCAAGCCATTTAAATATGACTCCAAATAGTTCAGCCCCAGGGACATTTTCACTTGGCCAACTCCCCCCTACTGTATACAACATAATTTAAGTCAAAATTAAACTAGCCAAAACAGGTATGCTTTCTAATCAAGATATTTATCCCTACTTAGGAAAGTCATTCTATATTTGTTTTAGTTTGATTTAAAGCATTCTAGAATGCCACAAAACATTATAGTTGACCATTTAAGAAGTAGTTTGCAAACTACTGCAGTGTATTATCTACACAACGTAAGTAAGGTAGGCAAGATCTGGACAGCAAATGACTACAATATTTATTATAAACCTTCCATTTGATATAATGATAATAATAATCCTTGCATTTGATAAAGAGCTTTTCATGTCTTCTGGACGTCTTAAAGCACTTCACAGAATATACTTTAAAGTGAATTGATTTATATTTGTGGGCGAATTGCAGCAGCCAATTGCGCACAGCAATGTCCCACAAACAGTCATGGATTTAAGTGACAAATTTATTATTGTTTTTTTTTCTTGAGGGATTATTATCACACGTGTGGAGTAAGGAAACTTGACCCAGATTTTGCCCTGCCTAGAATCAAACCTATGTTCGAGGGAGTGTTCTAATCACTAAACTACAGGACTCCACTCCTGTGTAGTGCCTTTCATGTTGGAAAGATGTCTCAAAACACTTAAGTTTTATTGTAGAGTATAATAATTGTATTTTGTAGGAGAAAGTGGCAGCCAATTTGTACATAGCAATGTCCTGTAAACAGTCTTGAAGTGAATGACCAATATTATTTGGTGGATTGACAACCAGAACACCGGGAAAAATTGCCTTCACTTTTCAAATAGTGCCAAGGGATCTTTAACATCCGTTTGGACAGGCAATAAGGACTTTGATTTAACATCTAATCTGAAGGATTGCATGTCAAACAGAGCACTGCATTGGAGTGTCAGCCTAGACTTTGTGAGTTCAGAATACCAATTTGGGGATTGAACTCACAACCTTCTGTCCCGGAGAAAAGAATGCTACCAACTGAGCCAGGTTGATGTTAATTGATGTATCAAATGTAGCAGATTGTTGGTTCAATTAGGTCAGCTCAAATGAAACCTAGGAAATCTCCCATTTTCTCAGTCAAATCTGATGTGTACTAAATCATTAATAGTGTAATCCTACTGATGTATTGATGCTTTACTGGATCACACTAGGCCCAGGAGAAACTAGGACCTGTGGACATGCTCATCAACTGTGCTGGGAAATCAGTTGCTGCGAAGTTTGAAGATATTGAAGTTGGCTTATTCAGGGTGAGCAATTTACATGATCTGTAAACGTTAAATTATTTTGAATGCAGCAGTACTGTATTTAGGAGCATTGGATTGAACTGCTGCTTTTCTCCTCAATCTTTTCTCCACTTTCCCTCCCACCCCCATCCTGTTCGACCTTTTTTTCCTTCTCTTGACTCCCAAGAGTACTGGTTGCTCTCCTGTACCTCGCCCACATGGCTATTATTTATGTACTAGTCTTGCCTGCGAATGTTTTGTAGTCTTTGCTTCTGTCTGTATCTGTTTTCCCTCCTCCTCATCAGATGGGAATTCTTAGCTGACCATTTTTTAGTGGTGCAGCCAACAATTGTTTTAATGAGAATCAATGTTATCATAAGCTATTTAATTTGGAGTCATCTTTTTTTAGAAAAACTGTTAAAGCTGCTTAATCTTTATAACTTAAATATCTATATGATAGGTACTTTTTAAAAAAAAAAGTGTTTCTTGTCTTTCCCCTAGAGGTTAATGGAGACCAATTATCTAGGCAGCATTTATCCTACAAGGGCGGTCATTCACACCATGAAGGAGAGGCGGCTGGGAAGAATTGTGTTTGTATCTTCCCAGGCAGGACAAGTGGGATTATTTGGATACACTGCTTATTCTCCTTCCAAATTTGCTCTGCGTGGATTAGCAGAATCGCTGCAAATGGAGGTAAATCTTTTGATGTGACAAATTATCTGTGTTAAATTTTCAAGGATACTATTGCCATATGGTATTTTTAAGCATACCATATGTTTATTTTCTCAGTCACTGTACCAGCATCTGGCCTCTTGCAAAGGGATTGCTGGTTGAGAGAGGAGAAAGTGATTACGTGGAGTCCTGTAGCTCAGTGGTTAGAGCACTCACTTTGCAAGTGAGAGACCTGGGTTTGATTCCTGGCAGGGTGAAACCTTGGGAAAGTTTCCTTACTCCACACGCCTGATAATAATCCCTCAAATAAAACAATAATAAATTGGTCATTTTCAATCCACGACTGTTTGTGGGAAACTGCTGTGCACAATTGGCTGCCACATTTCGCCCACAAATATACAGTCAATTCACTTTACAGTCTATTCTGTGAAGCCCTTTGAGACGTCTAGAAGACGTGAAAAGCACTATATCAAATGCAAGGATTATTATTGTTATAGTCTTCATCAGGCCCTCACAGTTTGTCTTGCTCCTTTCTTTCCTTCTATAATGTTATACTGTAGTACTTATTCAGGAGCCCAGTAATATACAGTCAATTCACTTAGCAGTATATTCTGTGAAGCGCTTTGTGACATCTAAAAGACATGAAAAGCGCTATAATCAAATACAAGGATTATTAGTTTATTTATAATCTAATAGTGCATCACCAATGATCCAGTGAGTGCATGCTTCAGCATCCACTGCCACTCTACTTTTTTGTGTGAATGTCTTGTCATTGTGCATTGTAAGTAACATTTCTTGCATTTATATGGCACCCTTAACAGCTCGTATGGCTTCGCAGGTACAGCGTGGGATTATTTGGATACACTACAACTGAATTGTCAGACACTGAGCAAGGGAGAGGAGCCATAGAATTCAAAGAAGTAGAATTTGAGGCATAAACTGTCCAAACGTAGATTTCAAAATTTATATGTGTAATGTGTGTGGACTCATTAATTTTTTTTAAGCTTTTTAAAAAACAATCATGGAAAGTTTTGAGTTCTATAAGTTGTATTAATTTCAGAGATGCCTATACTTTTCATATAATAAAACTGTAGTCAAGCTGTAGTAATTGTAGTAATTGTAGTAACTTGTTGAATTAAGTTTTAATTTGCAATTTTTTTCTGAAAGCATAGTTTTAAATTTTGGGTATAGTGTTAATTCTCTTTCCCCCAAACCCACCTGGAGATTTTTTGCTTATTTTATTGGGTTTGTATGCAATTGGATTTGTTACTGGGATTCTTTTCCACATCTCTTTATTTTAGCATTTTCACATTTTTTAAAAAAATTCCAGTAAACTTTTTTTTCAAATGTATTTTGGCTGAATGAGGCTCTTCATCTTTTACATGAATTGGTCATTCACCTCATGACTATTTATGGTACGTTGTACCATATGTTTGCAGTCAGAGTAGATCTTTGAGCAAGGCTAAAAGCTGTTCAAAACCAAATGTTCCCACTGTTTCTAATCACATTTTAACCTTGTTTCTTCTGTAATAACATTGAATGAAATTAAAGAAAAAACTTCTATTTTGAACATACCTCAAATGAATATTTTCTCTATTTTCAACCCTTTTCAGTGCTCGATATTGATCGAATTTTTAACTTCAACTTTTCAGGTAAAGTCTTACAACATCTACATCACAGTTGCGTACCCTCCAGACACGGACACGCCTGGCTTTCAAGAAGAGAATAAAGACAAGGTAAAGATTTTTTTTCATGCTTACTTCCCTGCCTCATTCTACCAGCTCATTAATTTACCATAGCTGATTTAGCAGGTGTCTGAAGACAGAGTTGCAGGCTTCCAGTAATGTGGGATTCAAACCTGCAATCTTGTCTGAGTCTCAACGTACATGATAAGGCACTATATCAGATGCAGGATTATTATAATACACTGTGGTAGCTTCATCATCTAGGTCATTGGAGTGTCCTCAGCCTGTCGTTGAATGTTTGAGACAGAAGTGTAGGCCCTTTAGATGGAAGGTAATCTAAATTACAGTTAATAACTATAGTGGATTCTCATTATTCCAAACCTCTTACTCTAACCAAGGTTATTATCCCAGCAGAAGTTTTGTTGTACTCAGGAATTAAAACCTTAATCGACCGATCTCCTGAATAAGCACTACTTTTCCTGTCGCTATGATTTTGCAGTAACAACTATTATCTTTTCTTGCTACATTTATGAAGATGTTTCGCCCTCAAAATGCAGTCAATCCACTTCACAGTAAATCCTGTGAAGTGCTCAAAAGATGCTGTGATAAGGCACTATATCAATTGCAAGAATTATTATGTTTCAGAATCAAGCATTGGAATTAAAAGTGAAATTGTCACTGAGTTAATTGATTGGGTTACTGGGCAGACTAAATTTCCATAAATCCTGTTGTCACTACAACTAAATTGCCTATTTTCATATGCTTGCTTTTTTTGAAATCATTAATGGAAAATATTTGTTTTTACAGCCTTTGGAGACCAAATTGATCTCTGAAACATCAGGATTATGTCAGCCAGACCAAGTGGCAAAAATTATTGTAAATGATGCTGTGGTGAGTGTCTGTTCAGAGAAATACTATTGATGCCTTATGAAAGGGAGGTGAATTTCACTCACATACCATTCCTGAACTCAGTCTGAGAAAGCACATCGAGGAGGTGAGTCGCTCTTCTCTTCCCATCTCACTCTCCCTTCCCCAGACCAAGAGGTGAAGGAGAAAAAAAAGGCAGTTTGACTCTCCTCTGGGTGTCTTACGGATCTCCCGAGTTCAGTTAGAATTGTATTGGCAGAGATGAGAGAAGGAGTAGGCTGCCTGCTCACCTTAAAGATTGTGCTTGTAATGTTTTAGTCAAGTCAACTCCTCCATAAATCCCTCCATAACATCTTGTGTAACTGTTGCAAATCAAATATTTTTACTATGATACTTCTTGATTATGTAATCGAGTTTGTAATAGAAATACTGAATTGATGGCAATGTCTCTTGTTGTAGAACTTACATCTTTGGCCACTAAGTATTTCTTTTGAGTTCCTTGATTGGGGTCCACTGGGGTCTAAAGAGTAATGATTTCAAATGGGATTCCTTAATTAAGGAATCTGAATGTAAATTCTTTACTGTAATTGGAAGCACGTCACTTTGACTTGCAGGAACTCTGCTTTGAAAGTAGATTGATTTTGGAGAGAGTTCCCATGAATTGGATGACGTACTCTAGATTACTTAATTATGGAGTCCTGTTTGAAATGAACAGATTTTAGACTCTGCTGCTGAATAGAGATATAATAACCCTGTAAGCTGTGATGGTTTGGCTGGTCACAGGGCAATACTCAATGGTTAAAGCCCTTTCTCTTGGTTTGGTGTTGTATGATCTTTTTAAGATACAGTATATGTAAATTGTGAGCTTGTATGGTCACATGCTTGTTGTACTTATGGGTGGGAATGGAAATGCATGAGCTAATTTATACAAGCTCTTTGTTAATTTGATTATTATTGGTACCTTTTCCTTCCTTTTTTTCCCCCTTGTACCCCTTTCACCAGCAAGGAAATTTTAACAGCTCGATTGGTCCCGATGGGTATATGTTGTCTGCACTCACCTGTGGTATGTCACCCGTCACTAGTATTACAGAAGGGCTCCAGCAGGTATGTTCTACTTGTGACTACACACTTTTTTCAGAGAGAGTTTGTGGCAAGAATTGAGTAAAGTGAATAATGTGCTTTGTCTTCTGTTTTTTTATCAGATTTTTTTGTGTGCCTGTATCAAAATGTATTTATTTCCTTTCATTCACCTGTCAACTTCTGAGATATTCTAAAATCTCTTTGTCAGCCTAAACATTTGGTTGTGTGCCTCTTTCAGTTGCACATGCAGCTCGTCTGATGTGGTTTGTCGTGTTCTCCTTTTCCTTCCTCTCCAGATAAACCCTGCTTGCCAGATAGTGCTTTCAGTGGCAAGCTATGTGGTTTTAGTTATTTAAACTGCAGCAGTATCCCAATGCACACTCTGGGATCCACAAGCATTGGCTCTTGTCAATCTGCACCTAATACTCTCTGGAATTATATAAGACCCAGGGAGGGAGTACGCATTCCAATATGGGAGTTTCTTATTGTAGGTGGGATGCATGGAACTCTGGTTTGGATATTCTTAAGCATGGGGATGGGTATTTGCATATGTAAGACACCCTGCTGGCCAAAAAAGATATCTGAAAGGGGGGACAAAGAGGAAGTACTTGAGCAGGCCTTGAAGGTGGCGAGGGAAGAGGCAAGTCAAAGGAGCTTTCAGATGGAGTCCTAGAGAATTGTGGCTAAATGTGCTGAAAGCCAGACTGCAAATAATGAGTGGAGCAGGGGATGTGAAGCAGGCCAGTTGGTAGCGTTTGAAGAGGTTGCAAAGGTAGAGTTGGGCAAGATCATAGAGGGATGAGCTTTATCCGCTGAGGGAAGGAGAACCAATGGAGCCAGGCAAGGATGAGGTGATAGGCTCACAGAGTTTAGTATGGAAAAATACACAAGCTGCAGAGTTCTGGATAGTCTGCAGCTCGTGGAGGGGAAAGGCAGGTAGTCTGGCGAGCAGAGAGTTGGTGAAATCTCCCTGGTCGTGATGAATGCTTGAACTGGTGTAGAAAAGTTCTCAAGTTTTTACTTGCACTAGAGGCTGCCAACTCCTTTGTTTGGTCTCTGAAATGTGCAGTAAAATAGAATTACCAAGAAACAATGTACCAGAAATGCAAATCTCTGCTCTCGGGTAGATCTAGAGGAATTGATTAGAAAAGCATCAGATTGCTGCGAATGTAATAATAATAATAATAATCCTTGCATTTGACATAGCGCTTTTCACGTCGGGAGGACGTCCCAACGCGCTTCACAGAACACACTGTAAAGTGAATTGACTGTATATTTGTGGGCGAACGCGGCAGCCAATTGCGCACAGCAATGTCCCACACACAGTCGTGGATTGAAAATGACCAATTTATTATTGTTTTTGGTTTTGGAGGGATTATTATTAGGTGTGTGGAGTAAGGAAACTTGCCCAAGGTTTCACCCTGACCTGCCTGGAATTGAACTCAGATCTCTCGCTTTCAAAGCGAGTGCTCTAACCACTGAGCTACAGGACTCCACGATAATATTTGTAATAATCTCTGCATTTGGTGATTCTAAGCAAATATCTGCCATCTGATTGTGAGTGTTGGCAATTATGAAGGTTATTGGATGAAGATCATGTTTTAAAATAATGTGCTTACAGTGGGTTGCATTTGTTTTAAAATGACCTCAATAACAATGAAAAATTAGCTTTCTGAATTTCAGACAACTTTTGTCAAGCTGAATCTGATGAATTGTGTAATTGTCTTTGCAAACTTAGACCATCCCACGTATCCATATGCTTTAATCAGCACTTTGCTCTCCTTCCTTCCCCTTGTTTTAAATCTTCTGTGATGTGGTGAGAGAAAATGGGCCACTTGATGACTTCAGGTAGTCGACTGACCTAGTTGTGTTGTAAACGTTTGTGATTTAGCAAAGCAGAACTTAATATTTTGTTCAACGAATAACACCTTTTTCAACCTTCGGAAGCAATATTTAAGTCTCGTCTTAAATTATGTAGTCCTGGTTCATTTACAGTCATTTTTTACCAGTTAATTTAAGGTTCTTATTTCCTAGATTAATAGTTTCCAGGGACTGGAACTGCTTTCTTTTTATTGTGCTTCCAAAGCACTAGTTGAATGCATCTTAAATATTACTCCTACCTTACTTCCAAAAAGATGCCTTATCCTAACCTTTAGAGGAGTGCTTAATGCTAAATCAATGCAATACTTTCTTTTCTATCACTTTATTAGATTCCTTAATTAGTGGTGAACTTCAGCATGTTGCCCTGGACTCCCACCCACTGCGAAAATTGTCATTGAACTTAGGAGTTACTAGGGCAATCTGAACTGAATTTGAATTGTATCACTGAAAGCACAGTGCTTTCATTCACTGGCTCACTCAGTTAATTAATGAAATACATAAACTGGACAGATATATGGATTTGCAAATATGCTGAATGTGAAAACGAATTACCAGATGGAAATCTGACATCTTTCAGAGGGGGAAAACTAATTCTCATTCAACTGTAAGTTTTAATCGGAAATGTTCTGCTGTCAGCGCCTTTGGACGTCCTCCCGACATGAAAGATGATTTACAAATGTAATTTTGTTGTTGTTATTCTAACTGACTAATGATGGATCTGTTTCCATTGTTTCCGCAGATCGTTACCATGGGCCTTTTCCGCACGATCGCCCTGTTTTACTTGGGGAGCTTTGACAGCATTGTGCGCCGTTGTATGATGCAGCAAGGAAAGTGTGCAGATGTGGAAAAGAAAGATTAATCGTAATCTAGGGGGTGTCCAGGAACAGACTTTGGGAGATAAATGGTTGAGAGAAGTTTGATGGACAGGAGTTTTACTCCTTGCCCTGCAGGCCTTTATGTTGCTTAGTTGACATTGGACCTTGGGGCAAGGGAAGACTTCCACATGCAAGTTAACTATATGTTGCCAAGATGATTCTGGTGTTGCCTAGAATGGGAATTGCAATATAACATAACCTGGATGGATGTGGAGGGCAGCAAGTCATGTATGCACAAGAGTATAATCTCAATTATATTATTTTGTGTATTGTTGATATTCTATTTTTGTCATCAACACTTTCCCCTTCGTTCAAATTAAAGAGGAAAGTCCTGCTATTTCATCATCTGTCACTCTTGGCTTCTGGTATGTTACTGGTTTTCAGAGAAATTAAATACGTCAATGTTTCCGTTTCTATTCAAATAGCCTGTGTTAGCTTTTGCTTCAGGACCTCCCATCATTAAAACTAAATAATTTATTTTAAAATAATCCCAGCTTGGTTTGCTAGAGCTGAGGAGGGAAAAGAGTCTGCTAAATGCAAGCTATTTTTCAACAACCTAGTTCTGGTGTTGCCTGGAAACTCAATTACAAAATATAGAGTTGGCATAGTTGTGGAAATAAGTACAGTAAATCATTAGTAGAAGACAAAAGTTTTTTTTGGGTGGGTGACTAGTGCACCGAGTTACCATTGTTTTCAAACAAGGAACCAGGTCAAAACAGAGTTCCTTAAGATTCATAGCCCTACGCCACAAAGTGAAGAGTTAATGATTTGGGTTTGAAATGAAGGTTCAGTTATATAAGCAGGAGTACATTAATACTTTATATTGGTTAGTTATCTGTCAAGAGAGCTCAACTCTAATTCAGTGTTGCATTACTTCACTCTGGGCTGCTGGATAAGTAACGTTTCCTCTGTGTGCATTCATGTGTTCATTGGTGAATTTGTTTAATGGTTAGACCACCAGCAGCCTTCTAATCCTAATACATTCACATTCAGAAGTTTCCTTTTTTTGTATTCGTATAAATACAACAAAATGTTTGTGCAAAAATTATTTTAAAAAAAAACTCATGCCATAATTTATGGAACAGGAAGATTTTTGGGGTGTTTCACTTTTCATTCTACAATTGTTTATTTAAACCTGAGTTCAATTGTAAGGATTGTGCCAGTTTAACAGCTTTATCATAGGTCCTAGGACATACATTTGGGTCCTAATTTGTGAGATTCAGAAAACAGTCTATAAATAGTGAATTTCAGGTGTGAAGTAGCTGACCCTCAGGAGCTCAGCTCAGATGCCAATCTCAGTGGTTGACTTCTGTGAAGTTGGCGTCTGAGCAAGAATTAGGCCTGGCACATCCGAGATTCACCTATTGCAAATCTCTCAAATCAGCACTCTGCTTCTTTCATGAGCAGGAATGGAATGTGCATGTGTGATCTCATTTTATTTAGCATTTGTACACAATGCCTTTGGAGTTGAAGTGACAAAAGATTTAACTCTGACTAGTTCTGCGATTTGATGAAATGGCCTTGCTGAACACAGTGATCTGAATAAACCGGAATTTCACAGCTGGCTGCAACACTAGTTGCGTAAGAAAACTGATAATTTCTGTGATTTATTGCGTGGGTTTGCTCCAGAAACATTTCTTGGAGAAACGGGGGACGGACGGAAAAGTACTGTCATGAGATTACGGGAAATGAGTCAAAGTTGCTAAATAATTTCATCACATAATAATAATTACTAATTGTAACTTGTAGTTATATTTTTCAGGTACCTACAAAAGGGGACCAGTTCTTTCTGAAATATCGTCATATAATTCCTGAAGTCCTCCTGTAGATGTAGTTGCTCTCTCTTCTCTTTTGGCTCCCCGATAGTTAAAGGAGGGAATTCTAGAATATAATCAAAGTACTTTGATTATTGAAATAAGCTGAATCTGTTTCTAGAGAGATCGATTGGCACAGTCCTAACGTGAATTATTGTTTTCAGTGATGTGTCTTTTTGTCATGTAAAACATGTGCATTTCTGGTTAATACATTGCACCTTAACGAGAATGATTTATATGATTTTTATTGAAAAGAAAAAATACTGCAAAATATGTAACTTATACGCAGCTAAAGAAAATAGCAAATATCACGCAAGTGTGACGAAAATGGGATATGAACACATCATGAGAAAATCCTAAAGGATTTTTTAAAAACTGACTTACAGAAGAACAATGTTCTAGCTTTCAAAAAGCTGTTTTTTTCTAGGAAAGTTCACTGATTACAGGCGCTCAATAGAATAAATATTTCATTTTTTTGGTTTGCTTCAGTTATAAGTTCTGAGATGGTCATTAACCTCTTGATTTTGATACTGTGGTTTCAGTGTGTAAAACCAATGTAGAAAGCCATGTCAACTAGACATGAGTGATTACTGTGTGGACCCAAATACCCAGTGGATGACTGGTTATAATCTTAGATCCTGCTTTTTCAACTATACCTGGCATGTCTAAATGATTTTATTTTCGAGGTGTGCAAAATGCTGAAATAACCCAGTTTAAATGGGTCTATTCTTTTCCCTCAAATCCTATTGGCTATGTCAATGGCTGGAAATTCAAGAAAAACTGCCTCACCTTTTTCTGAAACAACAATTCGAATAACTTCTTCTAGGTGTGTGTATTTTTTTTAAGCAAACATTACAACAATTAGTTAATTTATCATCCCAGTTTCCCAAGATATGTGACTGGATTTCCCACCATTGGGATTTAATGTGGCTAAAGTTGAACTTTCTTCTACAGGTTCCCGGGGGGAGCAATTTTCACTCACTATTTTCTGTGTCACTGCATGATCAGGATATCTTGTGCTTATGCTGTTTGTCCAAAACAAGAAGCAAAATTGCTGTGTCCTAGAAAAGTCCAGTAAATATCCAGTTAGATAAATTGCTGTTGATCGAGAGTAGTGGGGGTTTCCAGTTCTTTTATTGTAAAGTTAGTGACTGTAGCTGCTATTTTATATAATGCCAAATAGCATTCAATTTCACACTAATTGCAATTCTTGTTGGAATGGTATTACATGCAATATCAAACCCATAAAATTTATTGCATTGTCTTTGATCTCTCAAATAATTATTCTAGCCTCCTTTGTGATACACTCCTTTTGTTTCTGTTTCAGTTATTGGATCCTATTCTCATACTTTACCAATACTTTAATCCTTTTTATATGCTCCGCCTTAAATGTGTTTTTTTTCGTTGAATCTTATCTAAATTATTGAGAAGCCCCTACCATGTCATTTGCTTAACGTTTTGCAAGAGCCAACTGCCTTTCCTAGAATAATTGATCCTCTCCCCCCCTCCCACCCTCTAACTTGTACTGGAATACAATCCTTGTGTACTTCAAACCAAATAGACATTTAATCAAGTAGCTGATTGACATGTACCAAGAATCCCTATCAGAGTTCACCATGGTACTGTACTGGCACAATAATATGCAAGATGCTAAATCCGCCCATTTATCAGAAAATAGTCCAGGGAAGTGTTCATTTTTGGATTATAATTTTCTTCCAATTCCCAGCCAAGCCTCTCAACACTTAATATATTTGAGATTTTTCTTCCCTCAACAGTCTGCTTTTCTCAGAGGTTAAATTCATTTTATTTGTAATGATTGTCAGCTTTTGGTTATATACTGCACACTGCAGGCTCTGTTATGTGTGTGTGTGTATATATATGTGTGTGTCTATATGTATATATATAGTATTTGCAATCCAGTTTTTGCAAGATTTGTAGTTTCTTGTAGAAAAGCTCGATTGTAGTAAAGTAATAAGTATTCCCTAGTGCTTTGCTTTGGCAACATCTCTGGCTTTTCTCCATTTATTCCTAAGGGGCTGTCTGAGGCTGCTAAAGGGAGTANTTTTTTAAACTGATGAAGCCAATTAGCAATGACTGAAGTTGGATTTCCCTTGTTCTGCCACGGCAGTATCTCGAGTGCAGGTCATAAGTCTTCTGCAGCCCAAAGGGATTCTGTTTGATTTTTGTTTTCATTATATCAGAAAGTGCTGCTTGTCCTGTGACTCTGAATACTCAAGTGTTCTACAAACAGCAAAATGTGCTTTGAAAGCTGCTTTTTAGGTTTTGAATATTCCCCAACCAAACATATATTATTTTTCTTCTTCTCTGTATCATTTGCATAAGAATATGCAATATATGTCATTCCAAACTACCTTGTTTCATTCTTATGGGATAAAATATCCTTGCATAAAACATTTAGAGTGATCCAGAATACAATGTACAGTTAACCCCTAACCCCAAAAGACTTGTGGTTTTGCAGGCTTTCTGCCCAAGGTATAGAGAATTGATAACAAAGAGTAAACACAGTGAGAATGAAATTGCAAATGCCACCAAGCCTTGTCTGTTTTGTTTTTTTGTACCCTGGACCTGTCCAGAATAACATCCACATTTCTCCATTTCTTGCGGGGGAAGAAGATGTCAAAACATTTCAGGTAATCTAGTAAATCTTGAAGGATTGGTGGACTATACTAAGAAGCTTGTTTTTGTCTGAGGCTGAAGCTGTGAAGACCTGCTCAATTTTGCTGAGTGTTTTTGGTGCCATAAACAAGATACTGTCAACTACCCTTCCTCATCCTGGGAGTGATCACCTGCTTCTTCAGGTTGATGTGAACTGTTCTGTAACAAACGAGCAGCTGATCTGGGCCCTGTCTGCCTCTGTTCCGTCTTATTTGCCTGCTAGGAAATGTGGAAGATCTGCACGTTTGAACTGGCTTTCAAAATAAATTTTCCTCCCTCAGAGGCTCAGGTGAAGCATCTCCCAAGATGACCTACCTGAGATTTGGGAGCTCACCAGATGGGGAATGAAGAGGGAGAACCAGTCGCTCCTTTTAGTCTAGCACACGCATGCAGCAACTGCTAGTCCAAGCAATAGCTCAACATTAATGTCCATACACACAAATGCTCTCTTAGTGCAGTTTTGATACAAAACCATGATCAGTTTTGCACATGTTTATTCACCTACAAGCTAAGAAACCTAGTTTAATCCATCAAAAATAACCAAGAATTATAATAGTGCTTCTCAAAATATTTTTATATGGTTACTTTAAAGTAGTATAAATACTGACTTGTCAATACTGTTACTGTCTATTTCAGATATTTACTGCTTATGCTCTTCAACTTGTATTGCTGAAACAATAAAATAAATATTGGATGCTTTTCATTGTGGTAACTTTATTTAAATTGGTTAAAATTATAATAAACTTTCTTAATAAACTTAATAAAGTGACCAAATTGTTATTTATCTTTAAGGGATTATTACCCCCGGAAAAGTGATCCGCCAATCGACTAACAACCAGGTTCCTATTTTCTGCTGGGTAAACAGGCATATGGAGTAAGGAAACTTGCCTAACGTTTCGCCCTGCCGGGAATAGAGCCCAGGTCTCTTGCTTGCGAGGAGAGTCACTAACCACTTAGCTACAGGACCCCCAAGAGTCAGAAATAGCAAATCATTTTACTCAATCTATTAATTTTTTTCAAATGTTTGTATTACGGGTATGGCTGCAATACCAGTGATTTCATGGTGTCTTATGGGACAGTAACCTTTCAAGTGACAGCACATTTCATGTCAAGCGAATGTCCTCCCTAGTGCTTTGTAGGATGTGCTGTAAAAAGTAATGACTGCTTGTAGACTAACACAATGGCCAATTGATGCATCAGATCAACAACACTGCCATCTTTTGCAGGGTTGTGACGGCTCCTTTTCATGTTAATGTTGCATTTTTTTTTCTGATGGTTGTTATTGGCTTGATGATTGGATCAAGGAAGTACACTTATGTTAAACTCAACTGATGCTTTTATAATCATTTACATACTAATTTCCTTATCTGTGAAGTTTGATAAGGTGTCCATTTCCCTAGTTCACAATTTCTTGTAAACCTTGAAAGAAGCTGTTGTTAAAAAATCTTAAGTTTTTCAGCAAGCTTCCTAATCTATTAATGTTCTCTGCCCACCCACATTAAAAAGAATTGAGGTAGAATTTTTTGCATTTAAGAAAAACAAGCTGGACCTAAATTACAAACGGTCACAATATCAGGAAAAAAACACTATTGAAGGAATTGCCAACCAGACGAGACCACTTGGCATGATGTTAGGAGGCAACCCTTGTTCCATCTTATTGAAACCAGTTTATATTTAGCCAGCAGGTGGAGACATTGCACATTGCCTTTGTTTAATAGTTCCTGATCTGCTTTTTGATGCTCAGAACAGAATTTTTTGCAATGATGCTATATGAGTAAGTGAATTATACTCTATTAAAATAAAATCCTGTGTTCATATAAGATATATACTATGACGTTTTTTTTTCAAACTACCATATATTCTAAAACCAGAGTTGTAAATAATATGGATGAGATTATTACCCAAGAAACATCTGTTTGTTCAGGTGGATATTAAATATCCCATTATGTTATTTGACCAGAGAAGGCAGTTTCTCTCGTATTAATTGGTAATTTACCTCATGGCTGATTGGAAATTTCCAAGTCCAAATGGCTGCTGTGTTTGCCTACAAATCTGGTCACTATATTTGACAGTGATTACTCGGAGTGATTGTTGTACTTTTAAGACTTTTCAATGTTATATGGGTGCAATAAAAGGACAAGGTCTTTATAAATGCATTTATTGTGTTTTAGTGCCATTTACTTTTTAAGAACATAAGAATTAGGTGCAGGAGTAGGTCATTCGGCCCCTCGAGCCTGCCCCGCCATTCAATAAGATTATGGCTGATCTATTCTAACTCCACCTACCCACCTTATCCTCATATCCCTTTATCCACAAGAAATCTATCAATCTCAGTCTTGAATATGTTCAAGGACTGAGCATCTACAGCCCTTTGGGGTAGAGAATTCCATAAATTCACTACCCTCTGAGTGAAGAAGTTTTTCCTCAACTCAGTGTGAAAGGGCTTACCCCTAATTTTAAGACTGTGACCCCTGGTTATAGTTTCTCCAGCCAGGGAAAAAATCTCCCACTATCTACTCTGTCATGCCCCTTAATAATATTATAGGTTTCTATAAAATCACCTCATTCTTCTATATTATAGAGAATATAGGCCTAAATTGCTCAACCTATCCTGTACCTGCAAACTAACTTTTTGTGACTGGTGTACAAGGACACCCAAGTCCTTCTGAACGATTACACTATCAAGTCTCTCCCCTTCTAAAAATAATTTGCTCTACTGTTTTTACCACCTAGGTGGATGACTTCACATTTCCCTATACTATACTTCATCTGCCACTTATTTGCCCACTCACGTAGCCTATCTATATCTCATTGCACTTTTTTAATGTCATCCTCGGTGTTTACTCTCCCTCCTGGTTTAGTGTCATCCGCGAATTTGGATATATTAAGTTCGATGTCCTCATTGATGTAGATTGTAAATAGTTGAGGCCCAAGCACTGATCCTTGTGGCACTCCACTAGTCACATCCCGCCAATCTGAGAATGACCCATTTATCCCTACTCTTTGTTTTCTTCCCGTTAGCCATTCTTCAACCCATGCTAATATATTCCCCTTAATTCCATGGGCCCTAATCGTATGGATCAACCTTTTATGTGGCACCTTGTCAAATGCCTTTGGAAATCTAAATACACTACATCCACTGATTCCCCCCTATCTAATCTACTTGATATGTCCTCAAAAAAATCTAAAAGATTTATTAAGTATGACTTCCCTTTTGTAAAGCCACGTTGACTCTGTCTAATCATATTGTGATCCTCTTAAGTATCCCACTACGACATCCTTAATTAAGAATTCTAGAAATTTTCCTACCACCGATCTCAGCCTCATTGGTCTATAGTTCCCCATCTTTTCTCTCCCACCCTCCTTAAATAGTGGTGTGACGTTTGCGTGTCAAATGTAATCAGTGATAACTCTTTTTTAGCCCCGTCGGTGTTCGGGCACCCTATTCAGAGGACAAGACTGAGGCCCTCCTGATTGGCTGCCTCAGGTGCTTTCAGCATCACCATCCAAGGATGCACAGCCCACCTTACTAAGCCAGTCCAGAACCTTGGTATCTTGTTTGACCCTCAATTATCCTTCCTACCCCACCTCCGCATATCGCCCAGCTCCACCACTGTCTCACACTGCAGGCCACTGAAACCCTCGAACATCCCGGCTTGAGTATGCAAACTCCCTGCTTGTCTCCCTAACTCCTTCCTCCACAGGCTGTAGATCATCTAGAACTCTGGATAGTGCGAGGGACGAGCAGGAGGCTGGTGCCAGTCTAGTGGAGATGCCGGGTGGTGGATTGGGGAGTGAGGAGGTCGGAGAGGTAAGGAGGTTCCAGGGAGTGAATGGATTTGAACACGAGTGTGAGGATATTGAATTCAATAAGTTTGGTGATGGGGAACCAGTGGAGACTGTCCAGAACTGGTGAGATGGGGGTACGGAGTTTGTTCCAGGTAAGTGCAGAGATTGGATTGGATGGTTTGATAGAGGGAAGCAGTGAACCTGGGAGACAAATGAGTCAATGACCAATTCTAGCACTTTGGAGAGGAACAACAACAAGACAAGTAGGAAATGGATCAGTAGCTGGAGATCATGGATGAGTTTAGTGAGGGTTTTTTGAGGAGGGAGGTATTGCCTCTCCAATTGATTTATCAAATTTATAACCAACAGTGGTCCCCAACACACCACAGACACAGTTGAATAGATCTCCATGCACCATAGTTTATTGCTTCCTACTAACTATTTGCTAATCTAGTTTAATAAATTTAAAATCCTTAATCTTATGTTGCATGTCTATTATGTGGAACATTAGTGCCTTTCTAAAATCCAGGTAAATAGCATACTGTCTCAATCCCTATCCACTGGGACTGTAACTTCTCCCAAGTAAACAATAAATGTAAGCATGTCCTGACAATCTAAAGGCTGTCTTGGACTAACCCACCCTATGATGATTCCCTCTGCTTATTGTTTCATACTATTACTGTATTATAAGGCTTACAGGTATGTAGTTTTAGACTTATACCTGCCCCTTTTTTTGAAAAAAGAATCACATTTGAGATGTGTATTTGCTGCCATGAATTCTGAATTGTATCTAAAAGGATTAATAATGACCTGAGCCATTCTTTTGGAATGCTGGGATGCAATGTATCAGAGCCAAGAGCCTGATCTACTTTGCATTTCTTATCCCTCCCCCCAATATCCTCTATTTGTTGTTAAAGGATTAAGCAGTCAGGCAAAAGTGTGAACGGCTCCATAAATATCAAATGCAAGGATAGAATTATTATTAATAATAGAAAAAAGCAGGTTTAACAATGCATTGGATGTGGAGTTTTAAAATTTAGCTTGGGTTTCAAGAGACAATGTGGTTGTGCAACTGAGATTTAGTCTCATGAAAGACCTGGAATTAATGATAATAGCAGAGATGTGGAGTTAGGAGTTGTCAGCCACCAGCAGACACACAGTTGTAAATCGGAAATAGCTGACACACTGTGATATCTGGTAACCCTGAGCCTGCACAATCACATTGTATCATGCAATGAAATAAAACATGAAAATACTTGAGTTCAGAATACAAGCTACAGTGACAGTTAAAGTTGATATGATTTGATCATGTAAATCTGGTGTCTGCTATAGACTCGCTCTTGGTGAAAATAAATTTAGAATACAGTTACAATAAATTCCCCATCCCATGAACACCACCTGTATGTATAGAATAAAACAGGCTGGAATAAACGACCTGCATTCTTTGAGGATCTACAATGTTGTAATGCACTCCAACCTAAACATAAGCTATGCATATATTAAAACACTGTATATATTAAGTAGGTTTCTTATCTTAGTAACACTTTCGTCTCTGCCTCTGCAGGTTGTGGATTCAGTGTGATCAAACAAGTAAACCACTGATTTTAAAAACAAAGCATGATTGTGATACTGGAACACTGTGCCATGCTTCATTATGCTGAATACCAAGATCAGTTGCAGTTCCCAGTCTTGTAGGCTCAGATGTCAGTCACAAGCCACTCAACCAATTTATTTTATCTGAGCTTCTTGATTAGATTACTTTCCATATACCTACCAGCTACATTATATATGTAATAATTTATTAACCAGTAATCTAAGAAACAAATAACTTGGAATATTACACAACACCCACAATGAAGCGTGAGCTGTGCCAAATGCCCATAAGCACCTTTATTACTCTTCTATCTATATTTT